ATACCAGGCATGTGGATGCGGATAGGCTTCACGGTGTGCTTCGGGTCGATCTGAGGTACAGGTGGTGTTTCCATGCTTGGTGTCTCTGCCGGACTGTTGGTCGCAGTCGACTTGACGCTGACGACAGCTGCCTTTCCGCGTACAATGGTTTGAGCTGGAAGTGGAGATACGATGGCGTTTTGTCGGTACATGGTGGATGCAACGCTGCCTCGTTGTGCGAGACTTGGAGCGATGCTTGTGCGGCCGGCGGTGCTAGAGGACATCATCGAGTCACGGAAGTCAGGAACGAAGAAGTGCTGGTCGGCGGTCGAGTACGGGGTGCTCATGCCAGACGAAGGCGACATAGCAGGAATCGGAGGAACGGGCGGAACGAGCAGGTCGGGCGATCCAGGTCCTGAGCGGTTCGTGACACCGGGGATGTAGGCGATTTGGATGATGTTGGAGGCGCGGGTAAGGACGGATGAGGCCATCGAGGCAACGGTGTGTGTAGATGCACGCGCGCTCCGCCGCGACTGGAAGTCGTTCTCTGCCTTCTCTTGCTGTGCCATATCCACATCTTGCCATTCACTCTGCTGTGACATGGGCCTCCGCTTTCCCTTCAGGCAGTACTTCCATACGACGAATGTGAGAATGGCAATGAAGGCGACTCCTCCAATCACTCCTCCGGCTATGGCACCGACATTTGGTTTGTTGGGTGCAGCATCGCCAGCAGTAGGATCGAACTCGCAGCCTACAGAGGCGCACTGGTCGCACGTTCGTGAGCTCTGTACGCAGACCTGGTTGGCTGGACATTTGATGCCTTCGCAGGACAGCGGTGCCTGTTCACACGCGACACATCGCTTTTCTATCCGGAAGACATTTTCAGCGTCTGGCATCATGTTAGTCTTCTGTCAGATGCTGTCATGTCGCTGCAGGGTTGCAGATCGTACCTCTGAGCGCACGGATAGACATGGCAACGGTGGTTGGGGTGGTTAGGGGATCAGCAGCCCCAGGTTAAGAAGCAATGAGGGCCAGCTGTCAGCTATGGGCGCACCCGATCGTGTGCGACGCTGTCTAGCGCTGTGTAGTAACTCGAGAATAGCACTGTGCGATGTTTTTTGGGGGTGTTTGAGGTGCCGGGTGACGGGGGACAAAGGAAGAGCGATGCGGTGGGCGGCGCTAATAAGGATGGGACGGGTACGAGTAGCGTGAAAGGCGATGGGGGACGGAGATAAGACGACCAGAACGGTAAGGTAACGAGTGACTGCGAACAAAGGCGACTGCGAGCGACGCAACAAAGAAGCAAAAGCGATGATGCGGCCCAAAGGTGGTGAGGAAACCTGAGGATGAGGGCGCAGTAGCGTGGTAAGATGAGCGTGTGCCGGGCGGCGTCTTTGGCTGCGTGTTGGGGGTGGGTCAGGGCCTGGCTCGCTGAGGAAGCCGCGCGTGTTTCGTCCCTTCCCGCTGGGGCCAGATGATGAGGTGTGCAGACGGGCGACAATGTCGATGTGCACGGCAAAATGTCCGAAACGCTCTTCTTCTTGTCGTTGCCTCAGGGAAGCTATGGTGTTGCAGCCGACTTTCAGCGTTGCTGAGGGGAAGACGTCGATATCTACCTGCTCTCTCTTTGTTGTAGCTGACTGGCCCCAAAGCCACGGCCGTTCTTGGCCAAGCGGCCCTCGTGGTGCGTAACCTTAATCTATTTTTTGCAGCCTTAGCCGTGCGAGCGAACGCCTGCCCCAGCATCAAAGGCCCCATATCACCACCTCGCACCACATCATTCGTTGACACTTGCGCTTCTCGATTCTTTCACCAGACGTCGCAGCCGGTTGCACAGATGCGCACTTCATCTGCTGCCGGCGCTGACCGGGACTTCGCTGACCAGAGGTGCGCGGCCGCTAGCAGAGCCTCTCCAGACCCTTATTGGCCGTTCGTTCTTGGGTAAATAGTCAATCTGCGCGTCTAGATTCCTATCTCCGCAGCGCCAATATATCGAGCATCCACCTTATCTCCCACACGTGCAATGCCCTTCACCAACTCGTACTACTGGATACCGATGACATCTGCTTACCCATTCACGGCGACACCTCAGACTCTGCGCAAGCCACGTTCAAGCCCCAGGATGCATGTTTCCTCGCCCAGGAACATGTCAGCCCAGTTAGTCCAATGCTCCACTCACCTGCAACACTTCCTCTGGTTGAGCAGCTGTCAAGTTCAACACAGCCGCAGGTACCGCAGGAATGCTGCCCGCCTGATGTGCTCGGCAGGCTTGTCGGACTGCTAACATGCATGCGAAACACGACGAACCACGGCCGCCCATAATTATCCTTTTCTGTGGGGTTATTCCGCATCCGCCCTTTCATTTCCCTTCGCCAACCAGTCAGACCAAGGGGTTCGAAACTTTTGTACAACGATCTTCTGCTATGGCAATGGATGTAATATGGGGTCTCCCTTGCACTACCCATCGGTGATTATCTCCCGTCCAACGCTTGCTGATCGCGAACGGTCGAGACCGCTAGGTTGTGATGCTGAGCATTCATGGCAGCTTTGCCGTTGCTGACATCCGAGATTTGCCAGACTGTTATATAGGCGTAAACTAATAACAGTCTTGCAAGGAATTCGTCAGCACACCAATTTTCTGTGGATTGGACGGTCATCTGACCGGTACATTCCCCGACTACTACCAGAACTTGCGTTGCACAGAGTTGTCAGTACCCGTGAATTCGCGAATCGGGCTCCGACAGTGGAGGAGGAGTTACTTCTGAGCTACTTCACACCTTGCAGGGAACTTGACTGATCAGCTCTTGGATCAGACCCGCCCCTTGGTAACGGCCGAGGCGGTCCGTCACTGGCTCGCCATGCGAAACGGCTATCGGTCCACAGTCAAAGGTTATCACACATCTCTCACTCTCTTTGTGGACCAAGTACACGCACGGTTATCTTTGTCAAGTATTTCAATGTTGCGCCATAGAGTAGCCAGTGCTATAACTATCTTTATATGGTGATATCATTCTGGTTCAACATCAAGGTTGTTATTCTATGTTCATGTCAAAATCACTCAAACTTGCTCTACTGCGTCCCCTCGGTTCTCTTTTGGCTCAGACGATGTAAGTGCAGAGTAGGCCAATTTGACAGAGCATTTTACCCGTAGTTAGACGCTATTTATCTAGAGCAAACGTACGTTCACACCTGTCTGGGGTTGTTGTATAACATACATCAGATACAAGTTAGCAAATTTGAAGGGAGAACTCACAGGTTCAAATATTCATCAACTATACTAAAGTATTCACTGCCTGAGTGCAATACCTATCAGATATCCTACTTTGGGTTTTGTGGCTGCGTATCACACGCTGAACCCAACAAACGGATATACAACAGCGGCTATACCCCATGGCAGTTCCGCAGCTCGCTCTTCAATTTCGTTAACGGCATTCAATAACTGCCCCCGCCAACTGTCGCCTATACAACACAGCCCTCTCCTTCCTTTCAACCATATGTTGGATCTGTTAAGGGTAAACAAGTTACCCAGTGAAAAATCTTCCAGATTCGTTAGTATGCCTTCTGACGCAGCGATACTACCAAGAAGATCCCCCCATGTAGTAACCTCATCAGAAAGCCGAATGTTCACCAAGTGAAGACTAGTAAGAGTCTTTTCCGACGGCTGAAGAAGTGCGAGAAGATCTTCCGCCGCCTGGATACGCATAGTCGAAAGTTTGCACGTCTCCAACATCTCAAACCGACAATGCCGTGCCATTTCGCCAAAAATATCGCCATCCAAACTGCTATAGCAGCTGAGTTCCAATCTTTTCACATTCCGCGCTTTGGCCAGGAACCGTACTACAAACGGTGCGCGTGGGGCCTGCAATTCGAACCCTGAATGCGAAGACCGCAAATCCCTCAAATGCAGCTGCAGCGTGTCCAGCTTCTCGAAAGCGTAATCGAAATAACGAAGCGAGGGGGCGAGATTCTCAAGCCTCCCGATACCAACAGCACCAAACGTTTTCGTGCTATCAAGTTTAATGCTGCGAACTTGTATCTTGGACGCCGCGATGGCAGACATGGTAGATACAAACGGTCGAGACATTTCATGCTGACTGTTCTTGCAGTACCTTGTTGCGAATTTGGCATACCTGTCGTCCATGCCTTCGTACGCAAATGTGATGGAATCTAGCCGCTCCAATCTTTCGAATAGCGCTTTTAGACACTTGCGATCGAACCTCGTTTCGCTGAAGAATGTAGCCATGTCATCCGCTACCTTGCAATCAGCTGCGTATTTTTCTTCCAGATCACGCGTGGCTGACACGACTCCATAGGGCGTGGATATACTCTGCGTATTTGAAATGTGTGTTTGTGTCTGCCAAAGATGCATAGAGTGGCGAGGTGTGGCGTCTATGACAAGATGTTGCAGGCCGTTGCCAAAGTGCGGGTGTGAAGTCATCTCCCGTAATCTGTAGAAGGCTGCTTGAGTCCATTGTAAGGTGTATTGGCAGAAGAAGCGGTCTTTGAATACATGGGAGGTTTGTTTGCTGAGAGATGGGCTAGTGAGACGGAGGGAGCAACTGGTTGGGAGGTCGAGATAGGATGTTATGTGCTCGATCAGCTCAGTCGGGAGATTTGATAATGTCATGGTTTTGGGGAGTGCTTGTCACCGATGGATTTGGTACGGATAGTAAAGCAGTGAACGAATGTTTGCCGAGTATGTGGAGGCAAAAAGAGGCGGGGAACCCGATGCACGTTGACGATGCACTAACCATGTTGGGGCTTGTACATGCGTCAATCGGGAAGGGACGATATACTGCGCGAAACAGGGTCTAGTTGAATATCAAGTCTGTACTATTTAATGCCACTGATATTGATGTCCCAAAAGAGTGGCTAGCTTCTGGGCACTGTTGGTATATACATCCGTAGCAACATAAGCAGCAATGCTCTTATGTCAGCTTTGCGCCTTTCGACCGCAAAATTCAAAAAAGATAACAGTATCAGTACCGCTTCCGAAACTCTTCCATTATCCATGTCTCCATCTAATCGCTATCACTATCACTATCGCTACCACTGCTTTTTGACGAGCTTCCGGAGCTACTAGCGCCCTTTGCAGAATGTTCATTGTCGGATCCTGACTCTGAGTCGCTGCTAGCGTCAGAGTCAGCGTCAGAACTATCATCACTGCTGTCCGAACTGCTTTCATCACTAGACACTTCTGTCCTACGCTTTCGCTTTCGCGCGATCGGTTTCGCCGGCTCAACATGCTCCATCAATGGATTGATACTGGACCTTGGATTCACAGCAGGAGATACAGGCGCAGCGCGGCCCAAAGCATTCAAGAGCGCTTCAGCTCGTCGTCGTTGCAGTCGCCGAATAAAACCAGGGCTGTACTCGTGGTTCGAGAGGTCTGTCATGTCACCTTCTGTATTCCTTCGTTTCCGTTCCTTAAGAATGCGCTCTTGCTCTGCATCCTCCTGAGCAACCTTTTTAGCCTCGGCCTCGTTCATCTGGGCGTCTTGCTCCTCAAGGTCTTTCACTGTTGCTCTGCACCGTTCGCGTAGACGTTCTATTACACCCGCCCCCTTTAGACCAGCGACGTATTCGACTAGGGCGTCGGTGTGTTCGTTAGGGATGCGGAAGATGTTCAACGCGTTATCAACAACGTCGTTCTGTTTCGCTTTGTTGAATTTCCAGTTGTCGCGATCGTTATGATACTGCGTAAGATAGGCGATATACACCGAAGGGTCCTTCTTCTTGCCCTTTGGTGCAGGCGCAGATGCTGGTTTCACTTCAGCAGGCTTGGACGCAGGCTTTGGTGTCGTGGTCGTTTCAGCAGGCGGAGATGCTGATTTTGGTGGCGGCTGTTCTTCTGGCTTGGGATTTGGAGTCTTCGAACTGGAGGTCTCTTCTGCTTCAGCTTCCACTGCAGTCGCTTGTTTCTTGTCTAATTGTCCGTTTCTCCTTGCAGTCTTTTCTTCCTCAGCAATCAACGAGTGAAGGACAAAGTTGGAGACTTCCGGTGGTTGAGAGACGGCTCCAGTTCCTTTTTGTTCCGCAACCCAAGCTTTGAAATAGTCTTGACCGGTGTTTCCGTCGGACTTTTTTGTATCTGGGGTGAATGCGACGAACTTTCTTCGGTCCGTCAGTGGAGGTGAACCTGAGGCGTCCTTCCTGCTAGATTTCTTGGCGAGCTTTTGCGGTGTTGCGGCTGCGGCTGTGTTATTGTGGTCCAACTCGGTGGAAGCAAGTAAAGTTGGGCGCGCTGTCGCGTATGCCGGCTCGTTGGGTGAGAGAGTGGATCCGTGCTTGGAACGCGCCTGAGGTTGAGAATCACCATCCTGAGAATCCTTATTCTCTCTCCGGCGCTTGACTGGCTTCTCTTTCTTCTTTCGATAATTCGAATCTCCTTTGACGGGCTTCCCTGTTGCCGGTGCTTCCTCCGAAACAGCCTCTACCTGGGCACTCTCTACAATAGGAACAACTGGAAGCTCATGGCTGGCGACTCCGTTAACCTCGGTTTCCGTAATAACAACCCGACTCTTCTTAGCATCCTGTTGATGATCCTCAGCTGGCTCGTGTTGGTGTTTTCGCTTGCCAAGTTTTGAGGATTTGCCATTTACGGCAGGCTCATCGGATGGAACAGATTGCTCATAAGACGTCTCCTGCGCACTATAGGTTGTAGATGATTGCGGGTCGCTAGATGATGTTTGTTGTTCAGGTACGGCGACTCCGGACTGGGTTTGGTTCTTCAGGGCGAGACCCAGTCGCTTCCAAGCCGGAACTCTGGCGCCGTCTTGAGCCATGATCAGATAGGGAATATGGATATCTGTAACATTAGATGCGAAGGTTAAATCGCATCGCGCATGACCGAATCAGCTGAAGCAAAACGTCCTGTCAGTATGGAAAGGTCGAATGAGAGGACGCAGGCAGAGAATTTCGGGGCTGATGCTAGGAATGCACAGACCAAGTGACGGCGATCCCAGAGCTCCAGGCCACAAGCAACGCGTGTAGTGACAGCCAACGCCGACAACCTCGCCTTCAACTCAGATACCGCGCCCATAGAGCTTACGCAAATCTCCGCAACCTCGTGCTGAAGCTGAAGACGTCAATTACAAATACACAACTACATTACCCGCCATCATGTCTGGTGCGTTGGAAGCTATAAACTGCTGTTTGCCGCATACATGCTAACAGCTGCCCTCGTCATATAGGAAGCGCAGGCTACGACAGACACATTACCATCTTCTCGGACCAAGGTCGTCTATACCAAGTCGGTACGCAACCCAAGTCTTCCATGCCGCCAGAGCAATGATAGACCCCCGCGATTTCGCCAATGAAGCACCACTAACACATGAACCAGAGTATGCATTCAAGGCGATTACGGCAGCGAACATCACATCATTGGGCGTGCGGGGCAAGGACTGCGCAGTAGTCATCTCGCAGAAGAAGGTGCCCGTACGTATGGCAGGTGCAAAAGGCTGCACGAGATACTAACGTATATATACAGGACAAGCTCATCGACCCCTCCTCCGTGTCCCACATCTTCCGCCTGTCACCCTCAGTTGGCTGTGTCATGACTGGATCCATCGCCGATGCAAGAGCCTCAGTGAGCAGAGCACGAGGCGAGGCTGCCGAGTTTCGCTACAAGTATGGCTACGAGATGCCTTGCGACGTACTGGCAAAGAGGATAGCCAACATCAGCCAGGTCTACACACAGCGCGTAAGTGGCGATACAGAAGGAAGATGCAAGTAGATGCGAGTAGATGCTAACAAGGTGCAGGCTTATATGCGACCGCTCGGTGTGGCCACGACCCTCATTTCCCTCGACTCTGAATTTGGACCCCAACTCTACAAGTGCGATCCAGCTGGTTACTATGTAGGCTACAAGGCAACAGCGTCCGGACCGAAGACGCAAGAGGCGCTCAACTTCCTCGAGAAGAAGCTGAAGAACAAGGAGCATGCGGAAGGCAACTGGGAGGAGGTTGTCGAGCTGGCGATTACTGCTTTGAGCACTGTCTTGTCTGTCGATTTCAAGAAGAACGAATTGGAGATTGGTATCGTAGGAGGACCCAAGACCAACGGTCAGGAGGGCACAGACCCCACCTTCAGGGCGCTCACCGAAGAGGAAATCGATGAACGACTGCAGTCAATCGCAGACAAGGACTAAAGGGCAATAGCCATGGGGCTGGAAGGAGGATGTGGGTCGCTGAAGTATGACCGAGACGTGAACCATGACGATAACAACAGGTAGCATGATACGACCTCTCAGACGTCAAAAGTGCTCCAGCAGCACCATGAATGAAGACGTTAGACTGTACTCTCCTGCATAAGCGCAACTGTGAACCAAGCAGCCGAACCCGGGACAAGAAACATGTGGTAAGTTCAGCCATGACTCCACTTGCCCATGACACCAGATATCCATACCACCTCAGCTGCAACGGTCTGCAACAACTCAGGAACTGTCCCATCGACGTCATGTTACTGGCTCCTAGTCATCGGAGTGCCCAGCACAGCCGTCGTGTGGCTGACCGTGGCTTTTGTGAGCGTTGTTCGTCTGAACGCACCGCTTCAACCCTACGCGGGCACGCACTTTTCAAGTTCACACTCAGCGGACGACCACGCGAAGGCCGCACCGCTAATTATAAGTATCGACCAATCAGAACGCATGCTGCGGCTGAGATACACAGCTTGGTTTCGCTGCCTTACCCGATGCAGGCTACCAGGGTTGGCTCGCTAAACTACATCGCACGATGTGGCGCTTTTAGGGCTGCTGAAAAGGCCCAGCACAACGCGGTTCATTCCAGCTGGAGAGCGATGGTAGCGGAGCATGAAAAAATAGGCATGGTTAGACGCAGACGCACGGTTCCTGCATGTTTGGCTATCCCGTTATAGTGGAGACTGGTACAGATGGTGATGCTGCATGCCGATTCTCACACCTCCTCACAAGCCTCCAAGTGCGGAATGCTAGGTGCTGAGTGGTGTATCAAGGCAGGCCCCTAGTACAGCTGGGAGCTACTCACAGTCCCAAAGTGGAGCTTGTCCTTATGGTAGCGGCGGGAGCAGCCCTGCAGGTATGGCTATTCTAACCCTACGCTATCGAGAGCCTTGCTCATGGACACTACCTCCATCATCATCACCATCGTGAATACATGTCTTCTACATGCTATATAATACTCGCCACGCCGCCACTCTTCACTTTGCATCCACAGCAGCAAGCCTCAGTTCTATTCGACTATCTACAACTTACTTCTTATTAGCCACTTCAGCAATCTGTCGCCAGTCGATCTTCATTTCGAAACACTAATCCCACAATGTCTGACGGTCGTAAGTCTTTCCCTGCTCCAGCACAGAATTTTCATTCGCTTCACACCGCCGACCTATACTATTATCGAGACCACATACACTGACACTATCACAGTTAACGATGCCCGTGCTATGCGCGTTGCCGAGATCATGACCGACTTTCGCAATTTACAACACTACCTCGTCCAATTACGCGCCACACCTACCGCAGAAGAGTATTACCTCGAAGGTTACTCCCTACTTCGACAGTGCACCAGCGAGGCACAGGCTATCCTTCAGACACCTTTCTCTGGCAGTGCCAGTACGGGTTCAGGAGACCCGGAGTCCGAGAAGCAGCAACTGAAAGCGTGAGTCACTTCTTTCATCTCGTCTCACTTGAGAAACTGCAAAGAAAGGTAGCACAATAGCGTGGAAGAAGAGGCTAACAAAGTTTTACAGAATCATCACAGACGCAGCTGTACGACGCTTCCAATGCCAACGCGCTTACCTGCGAGCTCATGCTGGCTTGCGATGGATGAACAGCCGCAACAGTGTTTTGCGTGGTCAGAAGCCCAATGCTAGTCATTTGGGTGCACTTCAGCAGGCTGATGCCACAATGAGGAATGTACGTTGAACGAGCCTTGCTGTTTTTTTTTTGGTAGAGTCTCTACTGACAACTGGGCCATAGGAACTCCTTGCAATTAGCGATGCGTACGTCGAGAATACTTTGCGCGCTGCAGACGCCGCCCAAGGCAAGTGGCTGAACGAGGATCCTTCGCTGGCGCAGATCCAACAGATACTCATGTCCCGACGATGAGCATTCACGATACCGACGACACTGCCCGGCCGTACATCGGATCCGCGCACATGGTACGATCTTCTTACTGGGTTGCTTTACTGGAACGCTCCACGATTACGTCCATTTACTCTATACCACGGTGAACCCGATCACCTTCTCTACATCATCTCTCCACACATTTTTTGTCGGACAATCCTCTAGTGGCAGGTGATGCTTGCGCACTATCCTTCTATGTCTGGGCCCTTCGATTACTCCTCCACTTTTAGTGCTGGTCACATTGTTCGGAAAGCACACACTTTGTTTCTTTGGGGTAGCATTGGAAGATAGCCTGCTTTAGCGTTGGCGTTGGCGTTGGCGTCTGAATCATTTTGGTGCATGGGACATGTTCCTCTCTTCTGGGAAGTCCAAGCGGCTGGTCAGCAAGTCAACAAGTATGCGAAAACTGGCATAGCAAAAGCATAGGAATCTTTGGGGATATTTGACCAAAGGGCCGTATTTGGAGTGTTTCTTTTGTTCTTCCCCGTCTGCTATCAGTCGCTGCTTTTAGGCTGCATTCCATGTCTTAGTCTTTCTTGAGTTCTTATATCTCATTCGTCTCCTTGCTTCTTTTCATGTCAATATTATAATTTCTATTGGTATCTAAGCATGTTCAACGCCATCTCATGGAAACACACCCACCTATACTAATAACCCCCTCATCAAGAGACGGAAGCGGAAACAAGAGCAATTTAGGTACCTTCAACTAATTGTTTCTAGCGTTATACACTAACCTCCAGCTCGACAGGCACATGCAAGTCGAGCTCGTACCATCGGATCCCACGCTGCGGAGCCGACCGATGATGCACGTGGACATGTAACAGAGCTTCTACCAAACGGCTGGTCGTAGGGCAGATCCATAGTGTGTGACATCTACTTCACTGAATCATAGTAACAGTAGGGCTGAGGAGCAATGATGGGTGTGTGCTGAAGCGCTTGACAACAATCATACCCTATCGCACACAAATGCAACCTTCTCGAGCCAAAATGCAATAATGCTGCAGTCGCTACTAGGGATTCCACATCGATCGCACAAAACTACCATCATCAGAGATGTCATGCACGATCATGCACCGCCCAGCATTATACCCATCGTTACAAGTTCCATGCATTCGGCATCGCCTTGTCAAACAAGGATTCCGGCTATACTGTTCGCTTATATCTTCTTCCCGCACGCCATACTCTATCCGAGACTAGGGGATCGTCGGGGTTCCCGAAGATGGTGGGCTTAGCGTGTCAAGCCACGCTTCGGTACCAAATGGACGAATATTATGTGCGATAGGCGTTGTGAAGACGATGTACGATGCTAGACTGCGTGTTACTTGAAAGCGGGGTTGGCAGTTAGAAGAGAGGGGGTTTGAGTAAGGTGCCGGTATAGGCGCAGGAACCGACGCGAACCAGTACATGCGAAGCCGCCAAATCTGGTTTGGGTACGTGTGGGATTTTGAACTCAATCCTGACGCGTCACTTCCGTCGTGCCCTTCTATTGCAACAAGTCCTCAGAACCCTGAGCAGGTTCAGACGAGCCCTTCTGTCAACCTTGATCTGTTGCGATACATCCGCCATTCATCATCTTCTGTCCTCTTCTTCGGGTCAGTGCATCGCCGTGATGTAATTCGTTCGGCCTGCGCCTGGGTGTGCTCGTCCTCACCATTACCGCGCGAAAGAATACCCTGCAAAGTACCATCTCCCCGAACGCGCAATTTCTCAAACACTGCTAGTAAGAGCCAAAGGAACAGTGGCGAAAAGGAATGGCGCATAGTGTACTTTGTTGTAGTAGTAGTCTGAACTTCGACGACCCATAGTAAACGCTAAGTAAGCAATTTACCGAACGCGCACCAATTGATCGAAAATCCATCTGGCACGACACAAACAAGCATAAACAATCGTGATGTCTTCAGAAAAGAGCCACCGCCGTAAGTAATAGCGGCTATGATAACGTCGTGCACATAGTAACAATGTGTACAGTATACGTCAAAGCCCGCCATGTTAGCTACCAACGCGGCAAACGCAACACGAACCCCAACGTGAGCCTCCTCACTCTCGAAGGCGTCGACAGTACGCAAGACGCGCAGTGGTATCTCGGCAAACGTGTCGCGTACGTCTACCGCGTCGCAGGTAGCAAAGAGGATGGTCCTCGTGTAATTTGGGGCAAGATTCGCAGGACTCATGGTTCGTACAACTTACCATACTAAAGTAGCATGTGCTAATTCAAGAATAGGCAATTCGGGTGTTGTTCGCGCTTCTTTCCAGAACAACCTTCCACCGAAGTCGTTTGGTGCTAGTCTTAGGGTTATGATGTATCCCAGCTCAGTTTGAGAGTTGGTGGACGCACAGGGAATGCATTGGGACGGCGTTAAGGCGATTCGAGGAACGGCTGAAAGCCAGATGAGACAACTGTCATTTGCAAGTTATATACCGTATCAGACATAATGCAAAAACATTTCAAATTGCAACTTTGAACATGTAGTCACATTCCATAGTCTGGCTTGCTAACGCTACTACCCGACTAAATCTATCATGGTGAGCGCAGGCGTTAATGCTCTCGCTTGGACAAGTACTATTGTAAGGCATGCAAAGAGTAAACTGGTACTGGTTAGAAGCAAAAACAATGTGCATATTCAACATCCGGACATACGAGACATGGACAAAAAAATTGGTTGGTGCGACACCTGTGTGATTCGAACACACGCTCCCGAAGGAACTGGCTAACTTTCCAATGAAGGACTAGCAGGCCAGCGCGTTAACCACTCTTAGATGGATGTTAGTAGGAGATTAGTGCTGTAGAAGGATGGTGTTGACTAACCCGCCAAAGTGCCAAGACTCGCAGCTTTAAACTGTTTGATGACAAATTGTCGAATCTAATCGCACATGTAGAGGGCAATAAAACGGTTGTGTGGTGGCCTGGGCCTGAGAGGACGTGGGTATGCGGGGTATGTGGGCTTCTTGCAGCAAAGCTAGGCAGACACACCCAACACGCGAACCTAGTCCTATCGGTAACGACTACTTTTTATCACTCAAGCCGCGAACATGTGAAGGGTTACAGTTTGAAGGGCGAAGTGAAAAATTATCCATTGCTTTCTCAGGTGCCGCTGGAACTAACTAGTCTTCAACTAGTTAGGAGCATTGGAGAAAACCAAGTCAGACACCAACTGAACAGACCAGCGAGACAGCCTCGGAAACTTTTACAACGTTTGAACCGGTTAAACCAGTTTGCTCATTGTAGAATCTCTTGAGTCACTCTAAGTCGTGTCATGCTTTAGGACCACATTCAGGAGTAGCCTCATGCAAAATTCGGCTCGATTCACACGTGCTGATCCAGGGCCTGATCTTGAGATTCATACCAGCACAGACGATCTCAACGAGCTGTGCCTATGCGCTGTTTCAGGTTCAAGTCGCGATGTGACGAATGCTGCGTTGTTTTGTGACGACACTTCACCGGCCTCTGGCTCGCTTACATGCGGACCAATCACATGCCATTCGTCCCTGCGTCCTGGAAGCGGCTCACGCTCCGCCTCATCACTACAACTTAACAACTCAATGACGCCTGTTTTGCCCTTGTTGTCTTTTACTACGTATGCGTATGTAAAGAATCCGATCGGCGACGTGGCACCAATCCGTTCATCCAGATTCCTATCGCCAAGATGGTCGGTAAATACATGATGGGGCGGGTGTCCAAGTACTGAGGCGACACTCCTCGTTCGCATTTCCGCTCACCAAATCTCATCGCCCTGGCCGCCTAGCAAGGCAAGAAGACGAGAAGCCGATAACTCGCCGCCTGAATCAGCAGAAGGAATGACTCGAATCGCCCCGGAAACCCCCAGCAGACCACTTGCCTGAAGGCAGACATCCCTATACTTCCATAAACCGGACACGAGAGCTTCCAAATCTGGTCTATACTGCAAGTTGCCCTACTGCAAACAAGACATGACACGTTGGAACGAATGCATAGTCATTTACGGACGTATCGACCAATATGATGGATGAGCAGTCCCTTTTTGCATTGGGCTAAAATACATCTTGCTGCACCCCCTCAATAGTAATGTGGTGGCTAAGATTATCCATTCTGACAATGCCGAAAACGCCAAATCGAAACACAGAGGCATCATATAAACCCGTATACCATAAGCTCATCGACTCATTTCCGCCTAGGGAAGACATGCACGCTAAAGAATATTTGACGAAAAGAGATTGAACGTATAACACGTGGAAATATGGGGTATAGGGCGGAAGCTTTTCGAACTCCTAGACCATGGAACGGGAGCAAAGTCCACAGTCGTCTTGTCCGTTGTGATCATGTACTTCGTCGTATTCGTTGATTTATTGGGATAGGTGCGTTTACGAAGACATTGGACTCGTCGGCGATGCGAGACTGTTTCTCTTCGTATTCTAGGGAAGACAACTTCAGGTCGTCGATTTGCGCCTATTGAGTCAGTCCTAAGCACAGTATTATGGCAGAGTCAAGCTACCTTAGTCAATGGTGGTCCAATGGTGGTTATCAGAAATCCGTCGCGTCCCTGAAAGGTGTAGGGTCGGACGATTGCATCCGGGCCGCAATGATAGCGGATCTCGCTCTGGATAACGGCTCTTGAGATGCCGAAGCCTGGAACGAAGTACGAGTTGGGAACAGCCATGATGTTTGTGTTGAGCAATCACGTCGACAGGGTATTTGCTAGGTGGACTATGTGTTCGCGCGCTGGGAAATGATCGTAAGGTTGGGCGCGCGGAAAACTTATACATCTGACCGACAGCCTTGCGACTGGACAACCGGTTGCATACATTCTGTCTACACCGGTTCCAGTCCGGATGAAGATGCGATGCATCGGCTGCGATCAAGTCCCTCCGTTGGGCGTGGATGCGCACTGACGTTCGCCTCATTGTTCGCCTCGAAAGCCCAATCATCGCCATTGGGCAGCGACTAAGACCGGGTCGCGCAGCACCCTTCAAAATTGACCACTCACAATATTTCCGCTGCATTGTCTGGTAGACCTGTCACTCTTGGAAAGACAATGGCCGTTTCGATATGCTTCACATCTCGGCGCTAATAGCTGAAGCGGCCAACTCAGCTGCCACGTCTACAGAGTGGTGTTCTGTCAGGACAACTACGGATGCTTAAAGACGATCTCTTTGCCACCATACTATCTGGAGAGTTCTGCGATGGGTAGTTTCCTCTACACCCTTCTGCAGGGGCCCAAGCAAGTCGGCTGATGATGTTCTTCCAAGTTGAACGGACTTTACACGAGACACCCCCGGCGAGCCCCCAATGTCGATCAGTACCCCGGTTGAGCTTCCACGATAGGTGACACCCAGTCACCCCACGGTAATCGCATTGCATGAAAAAAAGTATCTCGGTGTCTGAACTCGGTCAGAGTAGCTTCACCGCTAGATCCGTTAAGCGAAGGATGCGATCGCATCAGGGAGATCCCTCCAGGCACACGACGCACTGGGTATGAATGCATCCAGCTACGAGGATGTCCCAAGTTCCAAATATTCCAAGATCCGAGCCGAGACCTTACAAAATTCACCTTATGTATCTTAGCTAGCGCTACACCGGTACCCGGACAATTGGGCTCCTCTACGGCAGACGGATCTAGCGCCAACACAATGTGGCGAGTATACTCTAACTAACTGTGAGGCAAGCCTGGTCTACCCCGCTTGTCATTGATGATCTACTTCGGTACTACCGAGAAGGGTAGTTAGATTACGGCATGTACCATCAATGGCGAGAAGGATGTGTTTAGCAACGCCTTTCGTTGTTGCTTCGAATGTGAAGCTGTTCTGTCTGAGGTGTTCATGAACTTTGTTTACTTCGGCATAGATCATCTCTGACCGCCAAAAAAATCTTAGCCGAGCGCGAATCATCCCTGGAAAACACAAAATCATCCTCTGAGCTCCATCGTAACGGCGGTTTCGGCTCTGGAACCGCCGCATGGGTCGTGTACACGTGTGCGACTACACGAACATGTGCCCAATGCCCAACATCTAAGCGTCTAGATTCGATTACAACAACAAGCATCGCGTCGCGGTAACAAGCCTAGCTACAGTGCTCTATGCACCGGACTACCCCGCAAGCTTTATCATGCAGTCCCCTCATACGCCAGCTCACCTTGCATCCGTTCTCAAGAGGATGCCCCTACAACATCTTATCCTACGTCATATCTTTCGATGGATGAGACAACATGATGCAGCGTGGGCTGTGACTTTGAAGGGAGAACCTGGTTTCCGGCCTCTTTGCGGGCACACAAGGTACCCTTGCGACAACGAATGCGTAATCACGCCATAGTCGAGTCTGTGCCTCTATCTCAACGACCTTATTGGAAGACAGCGGAAGATGGTGCAGCCCGAAGTACTCCGCAACTAATGCAAGACCGGAAAGCGTCTACCTACCATGACTATGCAGAAGTACTATAGGAAACTGTCGAGCAGCCAGCGAGTGCTGCAACTAGTGTCAATGGCAAACATATTCAGGTACGGAAGACCAAATATAGGGATTGATATGCAAGGTACGGCGACCACTTTCGGCCAAGGACCGTAATGGTATTCAAATGTCAATTTCTCCGGACTCAACGACTCGTCATAGACATCAAAAGTACAATCCTGAGAAGCCGTCTCGCTGCCTCTTAGCTCTTTTGTGCGATTGGTCTTGAGAATCTCTATGACAATTGACACACAGAGGAGCTTGCTCACCGGACATCGACAAGGCTCAGTTCTGTTGTGGTTATTAGGGACGACAACCTTGACAACATCATCTCCCCCTCCATCCAGCTATTCGTTGTAGAAGCATATACTGGCTGAGATCCATGACTTTGACCGGAGTGCTACAAGGCTGGGCGATGGTCCTTAAAGAGGCGCTCCTATCGGCTGCCTGCACACCGGAGACGGGAGCATTGGCCTTGTCATCTGTGACCTTCTCGACACTGATATCTAGGCGAATATACAATCCATTTGAGATCGAAGATGCGACGTGCTTGGGGAAAAAATCTGTTAAAACACCACACTCAATCTGGTCTAATGATATACCCACACCCTCTGTTCGCCTTGTTGGTGATAGCCACCAGTATATGGGTCAGCAGGACCACAGGCGGGACTTTTGGCATCACTTGTACCAATGACTGGGACGTGCGACCATCTAAGCCTTCCTTGAGCAAGGGAACCCTTTCAGATGAAAGTTATTTCGGGACAGTTACCCATGTCAGCTTCATTCACCTCTCTACACCGCTGCCCTAACACGGAAACCGAAAGCCCATAACCGTAAAAGCCTACGCATGACAAATACTTCATCTGAGGAGTGGACAAGACTGATCTTTCATTGACGGACAAAGATCTACTAAGCCTACAAGGCTTTGCGGGCTTGGTAGTAGAGACGGAATATACCCGTCCATGCCGATAGGGGGACAACAAGACGGCAATGCCGTTCGCGTCCGCCTCATTGAGTTACACAAGTTTAGCTAGCGGTCCCTCTGAAAACAACCTTACTATGGATTGGGTAAAAGCGGCATTTTGAGCGTGAACCGTTGATCTCGCGTGCCACGTCAATTGTTCTGGTCGATGCGCGGTTACCGTTGTTGATCCCGATGTAATGCATGTAGCACATCGTTCACGACTCTTTCCAGGATCCACTGCCTGGCCAGTGCTTGCCAGACACTTCTGTGAACACCTCTTCACAAGGAGCGCTATCTGAAAAGTGAGGCTTTGTAATTTCCGAACTCATATTCCTGTTTGCCGATCCGATTACGCCCAGGCACCTTCTTCAACACACGACTACTCTGCCGAGCCGAACGACGTGTCTCTGTAGAGACGGCACACCTGTATGAACATTTGTAATTGAATGTGCTTGAAGTAGGGCGACCAATAACTGTCACGGTAAATGTTCGAGCATTTTAAATGTCGATCTTTGAAGATTGGCTAACCGGCCCACTTGACTTTACTTATTGTGGCGTCGGTCTTGTGAGCCTCACAAAACCTTCGGCAAGCTATACAGACATTACGATGTGGGGTCATCTCTGCCTTTTCCCAATCTTCCTAAAGTGGTTTTCTTGCACTTGAACAAGAAGCGTGCAAAGACGGCGATGTCATGTTCCAGATGTTGTACTGCGTTCGACATGTCAATCTTCTCCGCGCCGTTTTTCCGTCTACGCTTGCTCTTCATGAGTCCATGCACGAAGGAAATAAGGTTATCACCCCTCTCAGCGTTTACAAGACGTACAGTTATTGTGTTATTCAATTACACACTGCATTATTCCCAACGATAACAAAACTGCGCCATGCTCACGCAGTCTTCCTTCTTTCCGATCCGAGCACCAAAGCATTTATACAAAGTTCGACTCGATAAACCCCATCGTCGACGAAACGATCGCGGAATCCTAATAGCACCAAAACGGGCCATGTCGTAATTGCCGACTGGTTGCGCAGACAGTAGGTCGCAGTTCCGCAAACACGATTCAGACCCCCGCCGTCCACCAAATCGTTTGAAGTGCCATCGATCGTCCCAAACCTATACAAAGGGAACATGTAGACTATATAACTAGCTGGAAGAATGCAGAGGGTCGAAGCTGTAGGGAGCTTGTGCCCCTACCAAGTCTGGCTATGCTCCAACTGAGACTCAGTAGCCGCTTGAGTAGCTCCAAGACTCGTCTCGGACGTCTGAATTCCCTTGCCAACTCGTTGAGAAGCCTAAGAGCAGCAGCTGGCTCAGCGACGCTGGGAAGCGTGGTAGAACCTCTCCATGCATTACTGTTCCGAGTCTTCTTGATACTCTCACTGATCTTGTCTTTCGTATCGCGACTACGCAGTCGAGACGGGTATCTAGTCTGGTGTCCAACCTCCTCTGCATCCACTCCTTTGCGTCGAGGATAAAACTTCAAGCTGGCGGTCATACTGTTGAATGCCCGTTGGCTTCATACGTCTTTGGCATCCTCTTTTGGCGCGCCCTCGGACACCTTAGACAGCTTGCCCGTGTCATCTGTTCGATAGCGAACCCTTGACCCTTCTCTGCTCTGCTCTTGTCGTTCATTCCACGTGGGAAACCCTAGGAAACCTTAGAGAAGCTCGTCTATTGGTTGAAGGGCATCAAGTCATGTTGGGGCGTGCTATTACCACACTTTGGACATGACTTTCGTTTAGACGATAGCCATATCGGCCCCATACCCGACTGGGAGGGCAAGAGTGTGCTCGCTTGGAAGGGTTTATGGAGGTGTATGATTCCTTAGGTCCTTTCACCCAGCCCTAGCACCCTCTGCTGGGATAGTCGTACCTCACGAAAATATTGAGTCCTTTGCTTGGGGGACGGGGCTCTTGGTGCTTGTGCACGCTGGGGATTTGGGAGTGATGGGCGTGAGCAAAGCAGACGTGGCCAGGCAGATCAGAGAGATGGAAGGATCCCCTTTTTTGTTTTGATGTTAGATGTAATCCGAATGCGTTTTGAAGGCACTAGGCTATAGTGTTCCAATCGCATATTTCGACTTGGGTACTGACTAGAGACATGCAAACTCTCCAGTCGCCCAGCCCATAATAACTGTACGATACAACGTAGAATTTCGGGACTAGCGAAATGATCTCATCGAAGCATGGAAAGTGCCCGAGGTGTTTCAGACCTTTTCTTTTCATGGCCTGCTTTTCTTATTAGCCTCGATGTCAAGATATCGGACTGACATCATCATTTCATAAGTGACATACTCAAAATGAAAACTTGTAAGAGTTTCTCGATCAATATTAAAACTATTCAAAATGCGCGACTATGAAAACAAGCAGCCAACGCGATTACTAGGCTAAAACGTGCGCCTAGTCCGACCATACAAGGGCCGTGAGGGGTATACAGCAATCGTGATTCATCCATGTTTTATGCCTCTGGAGAACGCCAACAAGAAAATGCACCTTCCAACCCATCAAAGGTCCTACACCTGAGGGAAACAACGCATGGCTATGCAAATATAAAAGAACGCAATACAGGGATGAAAAGTGCCTGTAGGCGAGGACTCTGAGTCCAGCCAATCGAGTTCGATTCATAGGAAGGATGAGAAACGCTGAAACAATGCAATATGAGCAATTTTTTAAGGGGAGGTAGGGCTCGACTCCTCCTCATCTGACTCGTAGGTGAGAATTGCCGGCTGCCATTCGGCAGTAAGCTTCTGCTGATACTCTTCGCTGTTGACGAGCTCATCGAAAGCAGCTTGGCATTCATCGTCAAGTTCGATCATCTCCACTACTGGCATATCGTCCAAGATGCTAGCCATGTTAGCCACAGAAGCAGCCAAGTGTGCGGGAGTGGCGGCAAGAAGCGACTCGTTGCCAGCTTCCGAAAGAACGCTTGGTGAAGGGTAGGTTGCCTCTCGGAGACGAGAAGGCTTAGCAGGGGTGTGCTTCATGAGTCTCTGACGCTGGCGTTCAATCTCATCTGCTGGCTGCTGACGGGCAGGTGTTGGGGGTGTGTCATCTGCAGACCCTGCTGGCAGCGGAGCGTGCGCAGGAACGGGGGCTGGTGGTGGGGGTTGGGTCCAGATTGGAGTATCCTCGGTATCGGAAGTCTCGCTGCCCATTGTGGAATTCTCTTCATCAGAGTCATCATCGGGGACGCTGAAAGAGCCCATGGTAGGGTTGTGGGTGTGGGCGGTCTCAGTGGTCTCCTTGGTCGCGCTTTTGAGGATTTCGCGATCTTTCTCACGGATCTCTGCGGCGGTATCGTGTCCCTGAAGTTCGCTGAAGATGTTACCACCGGTGTTGTGTGAAACAGAGTTGGAGAACATGGGTGAGGGGTCGATTGAGCGACGAGGGTGGAAATCACGGATGGAGGCGGACTTGCCATGGCTGTCAAAGAGGTTAGGCGAAGCACGCGCGCTGTTGCTGGCGGCAAACTGCTCGTCAATGGTGGGAACCTCATCGTCGTCCATGATGACATCGTGAGTTTTCTTGTGCTTCTTCGCAGCGTGCTCTTCTTCCTCAGCCACGATATCGAGGTAGACAGCCCAGACTGGTACTTCGTCTTCATCGTCCAGATCCCCTAGAGGGTCACCGAAGCCAGTCTCCCAAGGCTTAGCTGAGGGGAAATTTGACAGGTTCTTGCACAGGACCGGCGTCTCAAGGCGCTTGCGCTTCTCGCGGAAAGCAAGATCGTTGCGCAATTCAGGAATGATTTGCTTGGCCCACTCTTCTGCTTTTTGTCTGTCCTCTCGGTCGATGCCCTTGAGTAGGAGATTCATCAACATATTGGTGGGCGCACGCCTCTTTCTTGGTGTCTTGACGCGCTCGCCAACAGGTGTGGGTGGGAGTGAAAGAGTCTCAGTAATCGTGTCTTGGGGTGGTAGGGACTTTGTGACGGTAGGTGAAGCCACCTCAGGGGTTGGTGGAGGTTTGGGAGTCGAAGAGAAAAGTCGGGATTTTATGGCGGAGAATGACCTGCTGAAGATGTTGGATGGTGTTGCGACGGGACGATCAGGCGTTGCTGAGACCTCATGGAAGGCTCTCTTGACAGACTGTTGTGGTGAATGTTCCATGACGACGTCATTGTTGTCTTGGAATGTTTCATTGTCGTTGCTTGATGGCTCAACATGCCTGGTCTCTTTGGCGTTGCTCTCGATCTTGTGGAGGAGCGCAAGGGCTTCCTCGTTGCCATTTACAAAAACACCCTGCGCCGGAGATGACTCGCTGATTCCTACTAGTTCACTGTCGAATTCTGCGTAGTTGACGTTAGCCGGAGAACAGTAGCTATGACGTGAAAGGTTTTGCAAACTTGAATGCAAACGCGTATTTTCCATGCGCAGACGGAGGTTCTCCCTCTCATACTGAACCATGTGCTGGTCTTTCTGGCACAGCATCTCCGCAAGATTCTGATTGCGAGCCTCCGTGTCTGACACGCGCTCACGGAGGTGGTAAATCTCCCTGAGCTGCTCGGCGTTCTTCTCTTTGAGGATCTCATTGTCGATTGCATGCTCTGGGGGTGGATTGCTGTAGAGAAAACGGTGCTTACTTTTAGTGAAGAAGAGGCCCATGCCATCTTCGTTGTCGGCAGCTGCTTCGTCTTCGCTGCTCTCAACAGTTGTAGCCGCCAGCTTTGCGGCAACTGCCTTTCGCTTCTCACTGGTGACTTTCTGCCGGGCTGTGCCGCGACCCTGCTTCGCAGGTCTCGTCTGCTCTAGACTGCGCTGTGGTGAAGCCTCTACGCCTGCAGCTTTCAGTTCCGCGCGAGCGGCTCTGGTGAGTTTCTTAGCCACAGGAGGGACTTTTGCTGCAGTCGTTGTCCTTGACGATGTGGTAGTTGTCGTGGTGACAGCGGGAGCGGCATTTGCGCGTGACGTAACGCGACTCTTTGTGACTGTCTGCTGCGACTCCGTCACGGTCTGCGACTCGACTTTGGTAGCCTTGGGCTTGCGACCGGGCTTCTTCTTGGGTGCAGGCTCTGGAGCAGGCGATGCCGACTGTGAGCTTTGCCTTGATGCGGGCTGCGAGGACTCGGTGGCTGCCGCCGCGGCGGTGCGACGCGTACTGCGCCGAGTGGTGGTAGACATTGTGCTGCGAATGAGGTTAGCAAGAGCGATGCGCAGCAGCAGCAGCGGGGACGTACAAGGCAGTTGCGATGTAATTGGCAACAATCAGTAGATGATGGGATGCCAGATGCGACTGCCTGGATGTGTTGGGATGGTTGTCGTGTTGGGGTGTGTGTTGGCAGAGGAAGCTGCAATGGAGTTAAGAAAGTTGTCACTGCACCTCCGGCCATTGAGGCTAGCGCGTCAACACCCCGGCACCAGCTCGAGGCTGGCGCGACACGGGCCACGCCTTGGCATGACGACCAAGCTGGAGCTCTTTGCCTGCGACAGTCGACAGCAGCCAGCATCAGCATCATGGAGGGCCTTTACTACAACGTCAAATACGGGTATGCCACACGCCGTTACTTCGGATTTGTCTGTATCTAACAATTTCCCACAGCTACATCGAGGGCATCGTGCGCGGTTACCGCAATGCACTGCTCACCAGCCAGAACTACAGCAACCTGACGCAGTGCGAAACCATCGACGGTATATCACATCTGGTCGCCACTGCCTTGGGAGCCACTCTAACGACGGTACAGATGTCAAGCTCCAGCTTTCGCCCGCGTACGGCGACTTCCTCAACTCATTGCCCCCGAACCCATCGACGTCTGCCCTCGCCGCAAAGACCACTGACAAGCTCGTGGCCGAGTTCCGCTATCTCCAGGCCAACGCTACCGGCTCGCTCTCCAAGTTCATGGAATACCTCACGTACGGATACATGATCGACAACGTCGCGCTGCTGATTACGGGTACGCTGCATGAGAGGGATACGCGAGAACTGCTCGAGAGGTGTCACCCGCTCGGCTGGTTCGAGACTATGCCGGTACTGTGCGTGGCGACCAACATCGAGGAGCTGTACAACTCGGTTCTGATCGAGACACCCCTCGCGCCCTACTTCAAGGGCTCGCTCAGCCACCAGGATCTCGACGAACTGAACATTGAGATCATCCGCAACACCCTATACAAGAACTACCTAGAGGACTTCCACCAATGGATCAACTCTTGCTCCGACATCGCCGGTACACCCACCTCAGACGTCATGTCTGAAGTCTTGGAGTTCGAGGCCGACCGCAGGAGCATCAACATCTCCCTGAACTCTTTCGGTACCGAACTTTCCAAAGCAGACAGGAAGAAGTTGTACCCAGCTTTCGGCAAGCTATATCCAGAGGGAACTCTGATGCTATCGAGGGCAGATGATGTGGAGGGTGTGCGCATTGCCGTGGAGAGCGTCGCCGACTACAAGATGTTCTTCGACCAGACCGGTCTCAGTGGTGGCGGCGGTGGCGGTGTAGGCAACATGGCCGGAGGTGTTGGTGGCGAGACAAGGAGTTTAGAGGACCTCTTCTACCAGAAGGAGATGGAGATCTCGAAGCTCGCATTCACCCACCAATTCACTCACGCCATCGTCTACGCATGGGTAAAGCTGCGTGAGCAGGTATGTGCTAATCCTCACTATGAAGAGAAAATGGCAACTAACACCAGCTATAGGAAATCCGTAACATCACATGGATAGCCGAGTGCATCGCACAGAACCAAAAGGAGCGCATTGGTAACTACATCAGCGTCTTCTGAGTGTGCACATCATTGTAGTAATAGCATGTTTGGGTCCAACTATGGAATGTCTTGGGTGGCGTTAGGGTACGGTTCGTATATCCAACTTTGTTAGATTGCACATCTTTGCGCATACTTTCTTCGTCCCTGTCTCGGTTCCGTATGAGATGTCAGCATGCCTGATCTATACCTTCGTGTTCTCAAGTCCCGCCTTTTGCTGTCATCACTACGTCCAGCTAGCATGCAGCGATTCATCACCCCATAACGATATCCATAGAAACAGGACAGGGTATGGGCTTTTATGCTATGATTGTTACTGTTCTAAGTCCATCTCCCTAGTCCATCACAGAAACCGTAGAATTGTTCTACTTAAAGTAGTTGCATCTATATCTGATATGCTAAACGACGGGTCATATCAATATTCCCTTGTGTAACATATTGATAATCTTTCACGTTCAGAATCTTTACTAGATCATCATTGTTGAGGCAGACTTGTTCCCAATCGATTGCTGTTCAAAAGGTCCGCTTATTGCGTGTAGTTCAATCATCACGTTTCACAATATTTGTCTTTACACGACATGCCAACACCACCCAGCAAACGCGACTCAAATTGGACTACCCGAGAACTGGAAACAGCTTACGACACCTTGTGGAACAGGCATGAAGAGCACAATAGACGTGTTGAGGCCATATTGCATGGCGACAGCAGCGAGAAGATACAAGTCAAGCTCGATAGCACCTACGTAACAAAGATCCTACAATACTAGTCATCGATAAGATTTATGCAAAATCACATCCATAGTCTAGAGCAGATAACCCAAGACTTTCAGCAATAGATTGATCAGTTGAGAGGCACAGGGATAGACTCTTCAGCCACTCACGGGACTGATCTCGCTAGGGACACAAATCATGAATACTGCCAAGAGACCGCAAATGACCGTGAACAGGACAATGACCGTGAACAGGACAATGACGCGTAGGACGAAGAGGACGAAGAGGACGAAGATGCAAGTCGCGGCGACGAGTCACGCATGCCTCCACTAATCTGTATAGCGCCTTCTTCGCAGCCCAAGGACACCACCCAGGAAGAAACCAGTGCCGCCAACAATGATGCCAATGCATTAACCACAGTCCGGGACTACTCTAGGAGGTTGAAACCAAGTATAATCTTAGTATAAATGTACTAGCCCTTCGCAGCCATCCTCTTCCCGATCCGAATGTCCAAATGCCGAATGAGGCTGGTCGCAAGGTCTAAACGAAGTCATGGTCAAAGTTTAGATGCACCTGTCGTAAGGGAGGTGTAGGGTCAGTTTGCTGCAGGGAGGACAAATTACGGTGAGATGTGGTGATCCGCCAAAAAGTAAAATGGCATGGGACCCTGTGGATACATAAGAAGAAAACATGTAGAAGGTCTGCGCAAGGCTATCTGATCGACGTATTCGTTCGAACGCTAGCATGTTTGGGGGCACGCCAGCTCGTGTTGGGGTAATTGGTGCAGGTGTTCGAGGGTCTGCTAGATTTGGTGTGGACCCTAGTTGTGGAAAAGGAAAGGAAGGGCACGTGTGCATGTGCTTCAGGGCGCTAAGATGTAATCACTGTCACGACGGTGTATGCACTGTGCTCATCCTCATTCAGGCTGTTGCGTTGGGTGTACACCGCTTTCGGGCAAGACCAAAGTGCTGGAGATTGTACTAGCGTTCCTGGAGTCCGTCTTTGGTTACCTGAGCTGTATGTATCTTGCCGACTACCAACTTGGATGTACAACAGCTCTAATTTCGCGTTTAGAAACACTCCTCGGAATCTCATAAGCGAGTTTAATATGACGAGCATTCCTCGTCATTCCTCGTCATTTGGCGGATACATTTTCTCCGAAGAAAAGAAGTGAAGTGGAAGGAAAGATGGTGTGGTACTGCCGAGTCAAAGTACGAAGCGATCTAGAATTACTGCTTTGCAAAACGAATCTCAAACGGCCGGCTAAGATTTAGGCTCAGGGGATGGTACCTGCTATCGTGTACGCGGTGTGCAAGAAGATGTCAGCGTTGCAAAGTTACGCGTGTTCAGAACACCAAGTCTATCTCCGTGCCTACCAAACTTCAACTGGGCATGAACTGTTCATGTAGACTTTACACTCACATCTGTGCGCTCACTTACGCGGTACAGTCGTTCCATCTCCGCTTCGACCTCGCTCTCATGACAAATGCTTCAAAACATAGACTTCACGATCTCCACAAATCACGCACTTCTCCCTGTATCGCCAGCTTCATACTTGGATACCGATATGCAGGTCATCTTTGCTTGTCTGAACAACAACGTGAGGATAAGTCAGCATGGACCCTGAGCTGAAGAAAGCCTAGTGGTAGAGAGGAACCGCTACGTGTATACATGTGCCTCAAGCGAGTCACAGTCCACCTAGATGTCAAAACGCCAAAATTCCAAACATGGCCGTTGCTATTTGCTCGCCAGAGCGCACAGTACCATGCGTTCTGGACGGAAAAAAGATGAACACCGCAAGAGCCTCCTCCGAGCCCGGAACAACATTATACCCTGAAATAAACGTCTTACCATGGATGTGCGGAAAAGAAAAGAACTTCAAGCTATGGCTTGCAATGGGGAAGTAAGAGGACAGTGCGAGGTGAGTCGTTCGCAGTGAATGTTTCAGCAGACGAAACAACAGGAAGTCCAGCCTCAGGGTTTTCAACGTTTTTTATTCCGATCTTGAACCCTGAACATGCTAAGGCTGAGATCGAGCGAATGTGAAAGCAAGGCGAAGTCAACCTTTCTCCGAAGCGGCGATAGCAAGTATACTTGTGAAACAGACGGCGACGCATATTCGTCCTAGACCCTAGCCACAGTTGCTATACTCAGGGCCTCACCATAGAGTTCAGTTTCAATAACCGTTACCAACAGTGGTCACATACCTCGACCGACGATCACTTACCCTCAGCACCTCCTCTCCTCGTCTCCATTCCCATCCCCATCCCTTCCGCTCAAACCACCCTGCGGCCACTCCGAACATGCAGTCCAGAATGCCGAGTTGTGCCATGCATCCCCGGTTCATCTTCCTTCGCTTACAGCACAAACTCTGCTCCCACCACCTACTATTCTTCCTCGTCTTCCACGTACACGCACCATGACTCGGGGGTTACGTGGCCAGAGTCTGAGTATGGGACCCGGTCTAGAAAGGTTACCAGAGCGCTTGCCGAGTACCCGAGATTGGATAGACATGGCATGATAGACAAGGGGAAGCGAGTGATGGTGTGGAACGAGCCCAGGATTAATGGCAGGTACCCCGACTTGGAGCTCGAGACAAGGAGAAGAATAGCGGGAGCGCATACGATGAACTATACTGGTGAGGGGAAAAGATGGGATCATAATGTTGCGTAAGTTTCTCCTGTTTGTTGTACTAAGGAATCGGCAACTAAGGTGCCCAATCAGCAGGAAGATGCGCAATGATAGTCAACGGGACTCCGAAGCTATGTCCCAAGAGGGTAGCATGGACCCAGATGAGCGCGCGCCTACTACCGCTGTCGCATTCCAACCAGTCCTTACCATGACAGCAGAACGCCTTCGGCAAATGCACAAAATGGAGCTCGCAGAAGAAGAACAGCAGAGGGAGGAGAGGAAGGAGAGTAGGAAGATCAAGTCAGTCGTCAGACGCGCTCTTCGTGGATTTTCACGGAAGTGAGTCGAATGGTGTTGCAGTCTTACGGTGTTGGTCGACGTGGCGTGACCATCGTCTCCCGGCTAAATGACATCCTTGCCTACTCCATGATCATGATCATGAGAGTCACTCCACTCAACACCATAGTAACGCCACTTCACAGATGGCTCGCACATGTCTCCATGGGGATATCAGCCACTCTAATAAACACATCTTCCATATCTCCAAGACTAGAGACATAAATCCACCTTTTCATACATGACATCTCTTCTTGTCTCCACAGTACCAACAGCAAATCAATACAAACCCATCACCTTACACAACACTCTACCACTCTTAGAAGCAGAAACGGACAAGATGCAACATCATTTTCATATCCCACACCCACATTTACACATGCATATGCACGTGCCGCACCCACATCTACACGTCAGACAGCACCTGGATAGGTGGCTAGAGGATGTTGCTGAAGTTTACAGCCGTGCTGGCTGAACAACCAGACCAAGTGATGACAATGACCGGGGGCAGGCAAGTAACAAGCAAATCGTTCATGTACCTGCAACACCTACTAACTTCTCACGATAGAAGCGAAACGAGAGACGTAGGGTAATGTGTTGGTAATGAAGCAAGGACCGGCGTATGGAGTTTAGTTCTTGGGATAACCTGGGTAAATTGAGTAATCTAGATCTATACCCATGTTAACGAATGATTTGATATGTGCGAATGTAAAGACCAGCTCCAGATTCACCTTACCTTGCTTTCTTATCAGCTCATCTCGCGATTTCAAACAACGCACAAGGCACCGATTTTGACCGAGAACATGAGGATGTTGAGATCGAATGCATAGCATCTAGACCCAACTCCCCTTTTGCGGTCAAATGCAATTACTCGAGAGAGAGAGAGAAGAAAAAAAGGTCCGATGAAAGCGTGGCGGCGGAATCCAGACTGCTGAAGGAAAGTGGGAGAAAAACAATCTTGAACCGAATACTCGCCGGGTAGCGAATGGTGGTGGTAGTAGTAGTAGTAGTAGTAGTAGTAGCATGCGCCACAATCTGCATTGTACTTTTTCGCTCGTGTGACCCAGGCTTCAATCCGTCGATCCACCGACCCTCATCATCGGGCAGAAAGCATCCAGCAGGAGAAAAGCCGAAACATATATAAACTCGCACAAATTTCCACGCTGCCCCCTAAAGGGCTCCACTCTCCTTCTCTTTACAGACGAGTACGACGTCACACATAGATTTGCGCTACCGGTGGATCTGGCCGGCGACCAGCCGGGCGGGTTAGAAAGGACAGGGCAGTTATTCTCATCACGATATATCTGTATTGGACTGGGGGTGGAATCCTGAATCCCACAGTAATCCGCTCCTCATGTGTCCTCGGCGATCCAGAAGTCCCAAGATTGCGCCGCGGAACTGGGTGATCCGGACTAGGGGTCGAGTCAGTCAAGATGGGGAACATCAATCGTGAACATGGAGAATTATGAAGATTTCCATCATGGGTATAACTGTTATACGAGAGAGTAGGTCGCCGGCCTGCTGGTTATTGACCGGGATTAACAGAATAGAAGCGTCATTGGACAGAAAACGGGACTGGGGTTGGGTGATTTGGAAATGATGCCTGACAGTTCGGCGAGGCTGCATATATTGGATCTGTAGGTTCGCACAATATTCCCCAGAAGGCAACTCCAAGATGCTTAGCACCAGGGTATAGAGTAATCGTCACGATGCGAGTGCGAGATGGGCAGACCCGTGTGATGATGACGTTGGGCCGCTGTCGCAGTACGTGATGCATAGTAGGTCTATTCAGGAGAGGGAAGGTGCTCAATACCGTTCTACCATATCACGAGATGAGTGAGACGAACGTTGGTGTTGATGTCTCCTAAAACGTTGCTGTCCGACTGTCTCTCGCACAAGGTTGCATTAGACCCGAAGACGAGGTACATGGCCAAATGGGGGCCTGGTTCGCGGGAGATCAGAGATCAGATTGCGTACCTGGATCCAGCGCCCAGGGCAGAGGGCTTATTCGTTCGGCCGCGATCCGGAGCGACAGGTGCCGTGTATCTACAGCAACTGTTCGGCCTCTCAGGTGGGACATGGTGGGCACCAGCCACTGGGGGAGGGCCTGCACGCTAGTATACCTGGGCAGGGGGAGGGGGCGCATCTCAGGCTAGCTGAGGCAGTCGCTGACTCCGAAAACATGGCTTGAGGTAAGAAGACGGCACAATCCACGGTGAATACTGAACAGAATCCCCACATTCTATTGCTTTGAGTAGAGCTTCGACATACTTTGAAGAACGACCGAAGTCGTGAGATAGCGATGATGATGGGAAGATGGCCATGATTCAGGATTACGCTTGGTGAGGATCGTCAGGCAGCATGCGACTGTGGATTGGTGGACAGCCCCGCTGCCAGGGCTGCCCAGAAGTTTGTTCCTGCGTCGCATCCCGATCAGGCATCGCACCAGGATTTCGATGCATCTTCTCAGGAACAGGCTACAGCATCACAGGATCATGATCTCGACATGGTAGCGAATCCATCGTTCGGCGCATGGGGCGCGCGGCGCTAGGCAGTTTGGTGCTTTTTGCAACAGCTGTCAAGTGCTACTCTCACCGCCCGTGGCGCCTCGAAACATGCAGTTAGCTCCGAGTCCGTGAGGTCGAGGGATACACGTCTCCCGGACGCGTTGTACCACGATGACAGGGCAGGCGGTGAGATTTGGCCATGAGCTGTTGTTGTTTCGAAATGTTGAACGTGCGAGAAGGCCAGATGCCCACTGTGCTTTTCGTTACAGAATCTCTCGCTTACTTACACCAGATTGAGGTATTGCGCTATCTACGTCAGGTGAGCTGTCGCTCTGGACCATCATGCTGGCGTGGAGGGCTGCATGCTTGGGTGCAAAGGTGATTGACAGCAGACTGACCAGAAGGTGCGGCTGCGGCGTATGGTGTAAGTCCCAATGCGTGGCTGATCGGCGTGTGCGACCAGACTGCAGCAAGAGGGGTTGAGGCTTGAATTATGCCATGTCTACTGCTTGTGATAGGCTCATCGTCTAGAGGCGCCACGCTTCTCGCGATTGTGGAGTTTGTGCAAGCTTGAACAGCCAGCCCCTAGGCTCAGCATACTAGGATCTGCCATGGGGCCCCTGCGCAGACGGCAACTAAAAGCAACGAACGCTGATCTGGTCAGAGCGTGAAAGTTACGGAAACGGTAGAGCCGCAGCCATGTACCGCGTTTTTGGGAGCGATCCCTGGGGTCAATCGGCGAGCGCGGCGCTATGGCGCATGCTGGGGTGGATGCCATCCTGATTCCTTACAAGTCATGCTCGGTATATAACACTTGATCGCCCTAGCCTTTTGGTGCAGTCAAACTCAAAGTCCAGCACAACAGCAACTACCAGCCTTGCATCAAGACCCTTGACCAACAATACAACCAACACCATCTATCGGAACATTCTACCAACCACCTGCCAACATGTATCAAAACCTTGGACGTACACCCAACTGGGACACCTGCTTCAACCAAGTCCAACTCACTGAGGAAAACCTACGAACACACACTGCTACCCACAAGAAGGTATGTTTTAACTTCCAACGATGGATGCCTCTACCAGTTCACTGCTAACAATGGAACAGATTGACAGCGTTTGTGAAATGGAAGACCAACATTACTACCGGTACGACGGTGAATTCGCTGAGTCAGACGATGGAAACGTGGAAAGCCAAAGAGAGACAATCGCCTTGAGAAGAGCAGCATCGTTGGAGGTGTTGAAGGCCTACGGCGGGTGCTTCGCTTCCGGCTTCCTCGCACTACAAGAACCACTCCCATCAAGACCGAAATCCAAACTCAGGTCATACGAGAGCGCATACAGCGTCGACATGTCAAGAACGGCTTCCAACGCTACATCACTCGAGACCGCTTCAAGCAGCTGGAGTAGCAACGTCGACATTCCACGACCAGACTCGTCTACCTTGGGCGTACCAGTACCAGAAAGCAAGGGAGGAAAGTGGAGCTGGAGAAGCATGAGGCGGAGTCGAAAGCAGGCGGCGAAGAAGCTCGAAGTTTAAAAAAAAAAGATGTCACCTGGCTGCCCTGTCGGTCTTTCCATTTATCTTGTGTATGCTTATTAGCGAAGGCGTTGGGGATTACGGATACCATTCAAAACTGCGGAACCATCTCTTTTGTCACGATGCCAATGGCGGAACTATTCAAAACTTAACGGACAAGCACGACTTTGTATTGTTTAATATATATATATATACCAAGAAAAGACGAACTCATTGAGCCTTTTTGACAAACACAAGATACATCTCCCTTGCAACTTGTGCAGTGCTACTTTACAGTACCCGAAGACCGAAGTGCAGGCGGCCAGGTTTGGAGAGCCGGAGATGAAACATGAGTAGATAGCCGTCGCACATTGATGAGATGTCGAGAGGACCCCATCAGCAAATGCGTTAGAGGTCGACACGCATCTAGACCGCGCGACCTCATGAGGAAATCTTAGGCGATAACCTCAGCTCACGTCTAGGGCTATGAGTAAGAGCATGTCTTGTTCCGAGGCCACGATGGTGTTGCGGATATACTGCGGACTCATGCATCCCACGGGGGATGTCCTGCAGGCTGGCGGACAAGCACCGCCTGACCAAGCAACCGAGCCAGTCATAGTATGCGCAATCCTTGGGCAAAGGTGCGTCCGAGGTTAGTCAGGAGAAAAACAAAAAGTCGGCACGAGAAAAGGCCTTGAGCCTCAACAAGATGGATTGCCGGCCGCGAAGACGAAAAGACGACTCCTTTGATGGAGGAAAAGGATGCGGCAATGACGTACTGGTGGGGCACTGAGATGGAACGGCAAAGCTCGGCGCCCGCGTGGAAGTCGCGATGGTGTAGGTGGTGATGATGATGATGAAGCAGGTACGCCCAGGGTTGAGAAGTGCAAAGGTGCACGGGATCTTCTGGACGTGTTCGCTGAGCATCATGCCACCTGGATGAAGCATTGATAGTAGTCATGCCGCTTTGTTCTGGTACAATGCGGCTGCTTCACCGCCTGGTCTGTCATTGCCTATCGTGATAGCAGACCCACCGTTGACGCCTGCTGTTATGCATTCTATAGCCATCGGCGGACCTGCCGGGCTTGGATCCCTCAAAACTGCTACCTCCGCCCATTGTAAATCCCTCTGTTCTCTCCAGTTCTACACCGCATACGCCACCCGTACTAGCACTTGCAGCATATCGTCGTGTGATAGTTGCTCTTCCGTCCCTATAGTCTGAAGCATTCTCATACAAAGGTACCGCCCCACCCCCACCCTAACCCTCGACCACAGTCCCAGCTAACTCCGGAGAAGTACCTAGGCCATACACTATCTTCACCACCCACTACACTCAACCCAGCACCCATCGACTGGTGTCTTGACCCGACCTCCCCCGTAGCATGAGCTCGCAATCTTCCCAACCCCGCCGAACCTCGACTGTTCTCGACCCGTACGCTGCGCCGCACATCTACTATGGCGAGAGTCACTCGAAAAAGCACACGAGAGCCAGGACCTACTCACACGTGAGTAACGCACTCCTTCCCTCTTCTACTGTTATGACAGCACTAATTGGGGGGTGCAGAACGTAGACAATTCTACGCGCAACGCCCCAATTGCCGAGGGCGCCATTGCCGGGCGGCGCATCAGTCACGGTGCGTACCTTCCACGGCACCCGCGACGCGACACGTGCTGACAGCATCAGATGAAATCTCCCTGCAGCCTCGCCGCTTTAAAATCAATGTCGAGGAGACGCTCCAGCAGCTTCTCGCTCGCGAAGATTCGGACCAGAATTACCAGATCACAATAGACGACAAGGGGCCCAAGGTACTACCTGCTGCACCTATGTAGAGAAGACGGCTGACAAGACACAGACCTTGTCTCTCGGTACTCTTGGCTCCAATGCCTTCAAGAAGCACGACGTCCGCGGCACCTACATGCTCTCCAACCTGCTCCAGGAGCTCACACTTGCCAAAGACTACGGCCGCAAGACCATCGTGCTTGACGAATCACGTTTGAACGAGAATCCCGTAAACCGCCTGAGTCGCCTCATTCAATTCTCCTTCTGGGACGGCCTTACACGCCGCATCGATGGCTCCAATATTGCCAAAGTCGGTGTCGACCCCAAGGACTGGACGGATGACCCACGTCCACGTATATACATCCCTCAGGGCGCACCTGAGCAGCACGAGTACTACACCCGCATTGCTCGCGAGCATCCCGACATGCGTCTCGATGTTATCTGGCTGGACAAGGACTGCGACAACGACGATTACGTGCGCGATCTAAACAAGGCACCCGGTCTACTCGCTATCGCTATGGAGGAATGGATAGATCCAGAGACGAAGAAGAAGGATTTGAGGGGTCTGCCATTCGTCGTCCCTGGTGGCCGCTTCAACGAACTCTACGGATGGGACAGCTACATGGAGTCGCTCGGTCTTCTTGTCAACGATCGCGTCGACCTGGTCAAGTCCATGGTCATCCACTTCTGCTTCTGCATCAAGCACTACAACAAGATCCTCAACGCAAACCGCACTTACTATCTCTGCCGATCCCAGCCACCTTTCCTCACCGACATGGCTTTGCGATGCTACGAACGCATCAAGCACGAACCTGGCGCGCTCGACTTCTTACGTGAAGCTATTCTCGCTGCCATCAAGGAATACCACTCGGTCTGGATGAGCGCGCCTCGCCTAGACCCCGTTACCGGGCTCACCAGGTACCGACCTGGCGGAAAAGGTGTACCACCTGAGACGGAGGCCAGCCACTTCCACCACGTTTTGATGCCGTATGCAGAGAAGCATGGCATGACATTTAAGGAGTTCGTCGATGCATACAACAACGGACGCGTCGAGGAGCCTGAGCTTGACGATTATTTCCTACATGACCGCGCTGTGCGCGAATCCGGCCACGACACCTCGTACCGTCTGGAGAGGGTCGCGGCAGATCTCGCAGTTGTCGACATCAATGCGCTACTTTACAAGTACGAAGTCGACATCGGCCGTTGTATCCGCAATCACTTCGGCGACAAGCTCGAGATTCCAGCAGCATTCTGTACTGGTGACATGAAGCCTGGCCACATTGAGAACTCTGCCACGTGGGAGCGCCGCGCTAGAAAACGCCGCGTTCAGGTGGACAAGTATCTCTGGGACGAAGAAGCCGGCATGTACTTCGACTACAACACAGTCAAGCAGCAACGCACCGGCTACGAGAGTGCTACCACTTTCTGGCCCATGTGGTCCGGTCTTGCAACTCCTCGACAGGCTAGCATTCTTGTGGAGAAGGCCCTCCCTAAGCTGGAGGCATTCGGTGGAATTGTTTCGGGTACAGAGAAGTCGCGCGGCAAAGTCGGCCTTGACCGCCCCAACCGTCAATGGGATTATCCGTTTGGTTGGGCGCCGCAACAAATCCTCACCTGGGTCGGTATGCAGCGATACGGTTACGATGCAGAGGCCCAGCGCCTGGCTTACCGTTGGCTTTTCATGGTTACCAAGGCATTTGTTGACTTCAACGGCGTTGTCGTTGAAAAGTACGATGTCACGAGGAAGATTGATCCTCACAGGGTCGAGGCCGAGTACGGTAACCAAGGCAGCGACTTCAAGGGTGTTCCTCGCGAAGGGTATGTTCTGTTCTCACGTTGCACTTTTGTCTATTCACGACTAACATTGCACAGCTTCGGATGGGTCAACGCAAGTTACGTTTATGGTCTTACGCTTCTCAGCGCACATCAGCGCCGTGCTCTCGGTGCTCTCACCGACTGGGATAGCTACGCCAAAGCCATGGAGGATCTTGGCATGATGTAAACGACTTCCACTTACTTTGTTACGACTATACGATGTACATTGCATTGATGTTGGGTCTGCTTCCTAGTTCGAGTTAGAGGCGTAGTAGGAAATCTGCCTGAGCTGCGCTCATGGGTTTTGCTTGCAAGTCTGAGGGAAAGCGGTGGATATATGAGCACAGCAAAGGGAAAGTCTGGAGGACGTGGTACTGCAGGAGCTTTCGGTACAGTACTGGGGGGTGGACTCGATATGACAGTTTAACCTATGCCTATGATCAAATGAAATACGACAACAACCCTCAAATCCCTGTTCTGTTCTTCGAGGCGTCATAGTTCTGCAACACCAATTCTCAAGGGTAGATCAGAGGCGCATTATTTGGTCTCATAGATCCTATACCATCCCGTGATCTGTGAAGACCCATTGCGCGCTCGACCCCACCAAAACTCGGCGCGTCGCGTACCTTTCGACGCGGGGATGGGCTTTCTCAACACCACCACCACACAATTGGCTACGCCGTTAGAACCCTCAGACCCCATAACACTTGTCCATTGAATCTTTCAAAATGCCGTCGGTGCCGGTCCACCTACCTTCCGCAATACCCTCTCGCGCTGAGAATCCTCTCCCACAGCTCCTCCACACACCCTCCGGCCTAGCACTCGTAGAGATACAAGGCACGATTCATTTTCCGACGCCTACTGACTCGTCTGTACCCTCCACACAAGTCGGCAAACTTGTCTTCCCACACTACAACCCCGACATCAACGACCCGAGCGACACAAAGTGGATGAAGCGCTTATACATGTACATTGGCAAAGGTCAGCGCATGACGGGCGAGTGCAAGAAGCTGCTTAAGCCGTACGGCGTTATCCGCAAGAGGGAGAAGACAGACGTTGAGAATGTAGACATGGGTGGTGTTGAACAAGAAGATGGTGCTCAGGAGGAAGAGCTGGAGATTGTCGAGGTGGTGAGGTACAAGGTTGTGTTTTCTGCACGACCGGAGCCTATCAGTGGGGTTGCTGAGGTGAAATGAGGAGAGGGAGAGGAAAGAAAAGATGCTTCTCGGTCGAAAGTGAAGGTCAAGAGGACCACTCGCGGTGTACACCTAGCCTTCCAACGCTTGCGCAACGATTAAACGACGCCTACGCATTGCGCGTGATACGACGAGCTACAGGCGCAAACCTCCCATGAAATTGAGAGCACAAATCGCAAGGCCGGGAAACGATTTAGGGTGTCATACTAGCAACGCTTCATGCCCAAACATTCAGGAAGATAGAACAAGTCCATACGTCAACCTTCCAGGAGAGCTTTTAGCAAGCCTTCGTTGCACGCGATACGAGCGGTGTCCGGGTTTTCAGGCTCGGTCGCCAATTTCTGCACCCGCTGCCATCACAAGGATTGGACAGTAGCCCCTCGAGCCTCGGTATATTGATTAAGCAATTTGGCGTCGCACAAGCATATTGCTGTTCAGCCGCGCTCCCGGGTTCTGGTGCTCGCTTGCAGGCATAGGGCACTTTAACCACTTTACACGGTGACCACGGTCCGACTTATATTTGGGTCAAGCACTATATGTGGTCACATGGTGACGTTCTAGAATACACATAGAAGATATATGGTATCGGTATTGTATGCTCAGAGCTGGTCGTTCTATGAGACAACTGTTGTCAACCCTCTCTCTTCATTCGAAGCAAAGCTGATACCTTGGATTCCACCATGCACTACTCGACTACGACTCTGTTAGCTTTACTAGCTAGTACTACTTATGCGGCTGTGGGAGATTGGCAACAATGTACGCTTGTCGCGAAGTCGTATAGATGCAATTTCTAATGAGAGACTAGGCGGTGGTATGAGCTGGTCGGGTGAGACAGCATGTGGTTCTGGTGCAGGCTGTGTCAAGATCAAGTAAGAAGCCAGGCTGCTTTGATGTCATAAGATCTATTTCTGACGATCCTCAAGTGACTACTATTCTCAATGCCAACCTGGTGCAGCCCCAGCACCTTCATCCGTACCACAACCCGAACCTGTGCCAGAACCAACCCCTACAACATTCACAACAGTCTCTCCTGGTGCGCCCACTGCCAGCAGCGTCCCGGCAGGCACCGGACCGGGCACGACACTTCAAAGCGGCTACTATTGGATCCGCGCAGTCGCAGCACCCAACTTCCACAAATACTTCCAAACCAAGCCCCTTTACTCGACTGGTCCAGCCCTCCTAGGCGACTACACGACAGCTGGTCAGTTTCAGGTTGTCGACGGCCAGCTAGTCCAACTAGTCTCCGCTCCTGGCGCGCCCGTCAAGCTTCTCTACGCTGTGGTATCCGAGGAGCGCTCAATCAACGGCATGTCTCTTGCTGTTAGCTTCTCGGCGAGCAAGAACACGTACGGCACGTTTGCGTGGGGCGGAGACGATCTTCAGTGGAGTGTCGCTGGTGTCAATCGCCCGAATAAGAGTGCGTGGTATGTGTGTACTGGGCAGAAATTGTACATCAATTTGGGCAATTATTTGTATCAGACACCGAGTGGGTGTGCTGATCAGACTGTACATTACTACAACGATAAAACGGCGAACAACTAGGAGATGTGAGCATGTTAGATAGTTGGGATGGTGTGGGCAGTAAGGTGAGAGGGTTAGAAATGAAGTGTTTCCATTGAGGTCAATATGCTACTGATTCAGACGAGTAGACTATCATTCTCAAGAGCTCAAATCCCATCTAGTCAAACTCCCACGCATCGTCTCAATTCCGTGTTCATGAAGCTGACCGTCTACATATACCAGTGTAGTTTTGTTCCTTTTTACCAGTCTCTATTGAACCACCCAGTCTTCCATATCGTACATCCTGATCAGTAGAGATAACCAACGATATTTCCGACGGTGGTGCAGCTACCAATGAAAGGATAGTCGCACTGAACGCCGTCTTGACTAGGCTGGCGACGGAAGTACTGACAGTCGAAGCCGAAGGGATTGCCAATCTGACGAGCGACGTCGATGAAGGGGCTGTCGTTGACGTGGGAGGGGAAAAAAGGAGTACCAGATCTTGTCATTCTCCTTCGACCAGTTGAACACATACTGGTAGCAAGTCTGCCAATCATCCGGATGACGAGTGATCTTGACTAAAAAATGCATGTCAGTACAGCCACTCCCCAAATAGATCAACTGAGAACTCACGAGAATGTCCACAAGTATCCTTCAGAACGGCGGAGGTAAGAGAGAGGAAGGAGAAGAGTGTCCATGATGATGTAGGATGTTGACCTATTGGAAGCTGTTGAGATGTGACGACGAGCGGTTATGAGAGATTTCCTAGTCAAACAGGCGACTGGAATAGTAAGTTAGTAAATGCGATCATTCGGATGAGCGGGCGGCTGGCGGAAGCACGAACATCGGTGTAGGTAGAAGTTGCCGGGAACCACGGCGGTGGATAGTACGCGATAGCAAGGGAGGACGCAAGACTCAATGCGTGTGTTCTTTGAATGATCGGAGAACGTGACTAGAAGGACAGAACTGCAGGAGGTACCGTGCCAGAGTCCAACGATTGTACACGACGTTTGTGTACTCGAGAACTCCGAGAACTTTAGCATTCTTAATCTGTGCCGATACCGAACGAACTTGATAAATCCATCTATTCAATCTTCGAGTAGCGCTTTGCCTCGAACATATTAATCTGACGAAGATGGTTATACCAATATGATACAAACGATACCTGCAGCGATATATTTCAAAAGTAGAAATGGAACCAAGGCAATGTTTGCAATCGTTGATGATAGGTGACAATTCGAGTTGTTTTGCACTATATTTACATATCTCATGCCTAATATGTACCAACCAGTGTTTATTAGGACTTCTTGATATGTAAAACTATAAACCCCATTTATCTCATGTCATCCAGATAGCCAATATGTTCTCAGCTAAGGGTGTATATCTGTCGCAGTCTACGTACAGCTTGCTCGGTCCGATAAGTACTCGGTCCTATGTGAACAGAGTTTCACCATAACCCTGCTGACATCCGATCATTCCGGTATATCAACACGTAGACTTACTTCAATTCAACTTCAGTGTTCCTACCAAATTCTACTGCCTAATAGCCTATTACATAAACCGTGATAATATCCCATACCAAACACCGACCTCATCTCGACGACCCTAACGCCTTCCGCACAGAACAGCGACGACACTGCCCAAGGTATCGCACAAGGGCTGGATCGGCCAATCGCATCCATGGACCGGGTCCTTACCCCATTGACCAGGTGCGCAGTGCACGAAAGGGCAAGTAGGACCGCGGCCACCCAAATAGCGTTCAACGTCCTGGAAAGGCGCGCCGTCCTCAGCGGAGAGGTTGTACCACATACGGCCGTCATGGCCGTCCGCGGAGTATTCGATCTGGTAGACCCTTAGATCCGCTGCGTGGTAGGCGACTTTTACTGTGTGTTCGTTAGTCGAAGCTATTCAGAATGGCAAGAGAGTGGTGCAAAGCGTGCAAGAATACATACTAACGTGACCACATTGGTTCAGCTCAGCCGGGAAAGGCGCCTTGTACCTCCCGCCTGACTTGACTTCGACCATCTCAGTTTCGCCAGCATAGTCACAGGGCTCATGAGTAGGTCCGGAGCTGGTTGCAGCAATCGAGAGACGAGCCCAGACAGTGAAAGGACAACGGTTCCGGAGTTCACCTCGAATCTGAGGGACATTCGGGTCATCCGCCATGCCAGGGATAAGAATGGAGGCCATTGATGAGCCTGGTTCGACAGTAGAAGCCAGGAAGTTCTCTGGGGTGAAGACGTGGCTCCAGTCCTTGGACATAAGGGCGGGGTTTGGAGAAGTTGGGGCGGCGGTTGTGAGGACAGTGAGGAGGCCGAACGCAACTGACGATGATTAGCAGAGAAAAGATAAAAAAGGTCATAGAGAACCATACCAGCGAGGAGTTTGGAAGAGTACATCTTGTTCTTGACGGATGGGTCTGACTGTATCTGGGAGATCTGGTAACTGAGAAAAGTGGGTAGGATCAAGTGATATATAAAGATGACCTCCGGAAAAAGATGCAGATCAAGGAAGTCGAAGCTGATATATGAGAGAAGGAACAGAGGGGATAACGCATGTTTTATGCGCCACTGATTAGACGCTTCCGGCGCTACTTCAGCGCGCTCTTACCGACGTTGTGATCAGTAGACATATGTGAGTATCTTTGCGTCAGTTACGTGTGTGTCAAGTGAGAGCCGATAGGTGCCCGACTGAATATCGAGGACAGTCAGAGGAGCCGAAAGCGTTTGCTGCGGGATTCAATGAGCAGAAAACGAGAGATAGTGACTACCAGGTTGTCTGAATATAGAGAGAACATATTTGAGGCATGGGAGTTTTGAGTGCCTCGAGTGTTCGGTGTTTGTCTAATGTGCTCAGCAAGCCGAGTCAATTCTGTGAAGAGTTCACCGGCCTCTCAGTAACACCACTAATTGATGTGTCTGTGAATATTCAGCACCAGACCACCGACTGTGCTTGTGAGTCGGTCAGCTAACAGTGGGGCACTATCGTACCACGAGTTGAGGCTTCGATGGTGGCTGTAGCGTACATGCTTCCAGACTTAGACAAGCCTCCTCACAACATAGTCTTGGCAGCATGCCATCCTGCGGCCCAATGCCAGAGCCGTGCATCGACCGTCTTGCCCTCCTGATCGTACTTGACCAGGCGATCGTACAGCTCGTCTATCGGCACTACGACCCTCTCGATGAATTCACCATCATCCAGTACTTGCTCTGGCTCCTTGTCGCCTTCCTTCAAGTTGATCTCCACCATGGCCAGCTGCATGTTCGCCGTGCTCAGACCAGGGTCTGCGACTATAGTTGGGCTGATGAAGGCCAACTTCCCCTTGTATCCAGTCTCTTCATGTAGCTCTCGTACGCTAGCCTCGCTAGGAGACTCCTTCTCGTCGACTAGACCGGCAGGAAGCTCGACGCAGACGGCATTGACAGGTGGGCGATACTGTAGGATGATAATGGTGGAGGGCGGGCGCGAGGGGTGGCGGATGATTGTGGTGATGGCTACGGCGTCGACGCCTGCCTTGCCCCGAGTTTTGCGTGCCGCGGCTTCCCAGACGCGATCTTTACCCGTCTGATCTTGCCATGAGATCTTCTGAAACTCGATCCACTTCGCTTCACTGGCAGGAAGCTCTTCGACCTTGATAATCTTCGGTTCTTGCGGCATGTTGTAGGCTGCGCGGAGTGGTGCACGGATATGGAGGGTGCGTGGAACGAGGCTGTGTACTACAGTCCGATTGCGCAATTCAACTGTGCTACGAGGGCTGAATTGAGTGAAGGTCGGTATATGTTTTACGAGTGAGGAAACCGGGTTTCTGTACATTGATGGTGATTCTTGATGTCAAGCCGCTGCGAATGTGGACACTGACGTAGGAGACTCGGAGCTACAGCGTTAGCCCCACGTCGCGTCATCACGAGGTCACGTGTGCACATGGCCTACCCACCTAGGTACCTGAGAACACAACGAAGAGAACATGCAATTCAACAGAGTAGAGATGAGCTTCTTATACCGCATGTGGCGGGAAACTAGTCTATCAGCGTCCATCAGGATCCCAGAGTGACATCAAGAAGGCGTTTTCCTAATATCCGTCAACTTGACCATCAAGGGACTCTTCTCCCAGGTATTATACGCTTTCAGCCCCTCGAACTCATTCTTCGGGTTCCAAAGCGGCGCTCCGTCCGTGAACTCAACATCGAAGTTCCACAGAAACGCGCCCAGAATCAACCTCAACTCGACATACGTTAAGTTCCTACCAATGCATCCTCTCGGTCCGGTTGAGAAGGGTTGTGCCGCTTTTTTGGCGTCGCTAGCAAACTTTGCTTTTGATTCCGGCGTATCGAGGAAGCGCTCGGGAATAAACGAGTCTGGTTCTGCGAAGTTGGAAGCTGAGTGCGACGCGCCCCAGGAACTGACGCAGACGGATGTGTTCTCGGGTACGGCATGGCCGTCGATCAGTGAGCCGCCCTTGGGCACTGTGCGAAGAAGACCAATAGGTACGGGAGGGAAGATGCGGAGACCTTCCTCAATGCAGGCGTTCATGTATGGTAGGTTGCCCAAGACATCCATATTAATATCCGCTTCAGTCTTGCATGCGCCTCTTAACTCATCTTTCAACTTCTTGAATGTCTCCGGGTTCCTCAAGAGATAGTTGGTCAAACCACACAGCTCCGTTGCCGTAGTCTCACTGCCCGCCACGATGAACAGCGCGGCGTTCATAATCACCTCGTCGTCACTGACCTCGTTCTTCTTCTCTCTTTGTCTCAAAATATACCAGATGAAATCGCGATGGTCGTTGTCTTTTTGGTTCAGTCGCTTCACGGTCTTCTCAGTCGAGTTGCGCAAATGACGGAACCGACGTTCGCGGACGATCGTGGGGATGCACCACATGAGGAACTTCTGGGTGAGAGAACCTGGTTTCGCAAAGCGGCGAGTTGCTTGTTCGATGGCACCAGACTTTATTGCTTCGTAAATTAGGACTACCCAGTTTGCGGATGCAGAACCTTCGCCTGCAGGATGTCAGTCAGTACGAATTTGACATGATGCTGCGTCGACAATTGTCTGGGCGAAACGTACCTTCTCGTAAACATCCGAATGGCTCGCCAAAACTAAGATCACCAATGATGTCGAAGGTGCAAAAGTTGAACCATGAAACCATATTTGCTGGTTCGCCTCTATGCGCCTTGTCCCTCAGCCTGTCCACAAATAGGTTCACATATTCCTTCAAAATCGATTGTTGTTCCAGCAAGGCCTGCTTGCTGAACGCATGAGCAAGTGCTCTTCTCTGTCTTGCATGGTGAATATCCGGTGCCATTGTTAGATTCGTGGCGCCTGGTATCGCTTCGACGGCACCGACATGAATAGGGTCTTTGTCCATGTTCGCAAGTCCAACCCGGTGTCCATAAATGTCATCCCATGCCTTTGCTGTGTTGAAAGACAGCTCGTTCGGCATGACGCGCACGACTGGTCCATACTTGTCGTGATGGATCTTGTATTCAAAGGCAATGCGACCACGTAGCAGGGAGATTATCGAGGGAATGGGCGAGATGCGCCACAACAGCGGCCCGGGGTATTTGGCCAGAGGGTGAAGTGTGAGGTTGTATACTGCTGTTAAAACTACGTAGGCAATGAACTAGACTTGTCAGCTGAATGTCTAGAAAGAAGTTGAACAAGGACGTACGGCGACGGGGACCCAAACTGTAACCAGGCGAACACGATCTTCATCTACGAACCCCATGGCGAGGACTGTTCTTTAATCGTCCCTTTCAATATCCAGGAACTGAGAAGAAACAGAAAGGAATTGCCAAACTGAGACGAATAGAGTAAGGCTGAACAAGAAAACGAACCGAACGACCGATGAGATATACTAATGTCCACAAGTCCCTGTGACCACAACGCTGCCGGCAATACAATGTGTAGTCATCCGTTCTATCCATGGCGGCAGCTGCTCGCCAAAGCATTTCCGACGCCCCATATGCAGAACGGCAAAGAAGACTTGCCAAAAGCGTCTGACAATCAGAGCCGGCTGGGAAGCGAGACTCTGAAAGCAGGGTTTCGCTGTTCCACAGCGTGTATCAAGACCTTTGAGCGTAATTTTATATTGTGGATTTGAGATAAGCAATCACTTCGCCATGGAGAAGGGCAAATCTCCAAGGTTGGAGTTTGGGTATGTTTTAGCGTGATGCAGCGTAGACGCCCCGCGTGCCCGCATTCTAACCCCGCACAGAACTTCCAGGTCGGATCTGGCGAATGAGCATGTGCCGAATGCATACGACTCGCGCACTACTCTGAGATGATCAATTCTGAATCGCCTGTAGCGTGGTTGTAGCAACACAGGCTCGCTTCTTCTGCTGTACTCAGTCTGACAATCTGGGCTGCTTAGCCAATATTCAGCCTGCATGTCCTATGTCCATGAAATAATGATGTGCAGGCTTCGTCCTGTGGGTACTGTCAGAAAGCAGCGTACGCCTAGAAGATAGATCATACGATCTGAACAACTGGTCAACGATCGATGTCCGGGACCTTCGGTAGTCATGTCTGATGCTGCACTGCGACGGGCGGTGTCATTAGCCCTTGGGCACTGACGGTCTTGATAGCATCAAGCCAAATATCTCCCATATGAAAGTACCCAGCATACGACCTATACATATCAGTAAAATTAGGCTCACAGCTTCTTCGCAAACAGTACTCACGGATGCAGCCCATCAACCAATTCATTAGGTCCTACGACGCTATGATCGACGACCGCGAGCTTGAAGCCTTGTTCAAGCTTCTTCTTCACAACTGTGGGCACCGCATCATTAAATATTTTTATGTTTTCCATGGTTTGCGTCTTTTCCGCTTGTATGATCTTTGCGACGAGCACGACAGCGTCCGGGCATGCATCGAGTACGTCGTCCAGTAGCCTTGCCAACCGCTTCGGCGCATCTAGCCATCTCTCTTGTGTGCTCTCGGGACGAGCTAAATCATTCGTGCCAACGTGTAGAAGCACTAAATTTGGCCGTAATTGTAGCCCAGCTCTCATCGCACCTTGTAGCTGGCTTATTGTGGACCCCGGATGACCCTCGTTTTCATTGTTGTCCATGAACCCAGAGCGCTGCGTGCCAACAAAGTCAACTGAATGATAGCGCGCACGTACAAGCTCGCGCAACAGTCGCGCGCGGTATCCGTCCGTTCCATTCTCTTGTCTCGGCTGCCAGCCCCATGTTATCGCGTCGCCAAGCGGGAGTATGCGTAGTGGCAGGTTGAGATTCGCGCCGTGTCGTCTGTGAGGAAGGCCGAAGGTGAGTAGGATCACTGCAAGGATGTTAGCGACATGCGAGAGATGATTGACTTGTGGCACGCCTGCACAGCGATGTTCACTGCAACTCTACTCCGGTCACTGAGTACCGTCTTGAGATATATCAATGCAATAATTGGGGTTGAGTTAATCCCGCGCACGATGTCAGTAACGCGACGCACCTAAGCAGATCACTGCCACCAAACCTAGACCCTTCAAGGCCGCCTTGTGTCGCGGGCCTCCCATGGATGGCATCATTGTAATATACTGAGAATAGTCATTTGTCGCATCAATTGAAGTGCTTCACAGGCGTTGCAGGTGCGTGGCCGTCAGGAGGTCTGCTCTAAACCGGCGACTAACGTCATAGCTCTAGTAATACTGGGGCTTTACGCTATTCATAGACAGTGCTACATTGGCTGCGAGGCGGGCATAATAAGCAGGAGCTGGATGCATCTTCAGGTTTCTGTTACGCCAGTGGAGATGGCGCCGGGCCCGGCAATAACGAGTTCGGAGAGGGTCCACACATCGGACCTTTTTACGTACAAACCCCTTAACACTGATCACAGACTTGTGCCTTCGCACTATCAGGGTATAACTTTCGCTTTCCTCATGCGATCGAACGCAGTCGTCCACGTTTCCTTGGTTCCAATTTCCTCTGTATACCCAACCTTGTGCGAAGCCTCCATGCTCATCTGGCGGTCGAAGTCGAACATAGTCATAATGAAGTACTGGTACGTGTTAACTGCTGCATCGGAGAAAGACGCCCTCAGCGGTCTTTCTGACTTACCTGGAATCCTGGATGCGTGATGTCGCTATCCACGCTACCCTTCTTGAGATTATACTTCTTCTCCAGCTCTTCCCACTCCTTCTTATGCGCGTCAATGTACGCCCCAGGCTGTGGTGGGTCCGCTCCAGGCGGAGAACCCTTCAGACCGAAGTAATTACAGATGACTACCCATTTGTTGCTCCAGCTGTCTTCCTGGCCACCCACGTTGAAGCTCTGTGATGCCGTTTTCTCCGGATTCAAAGACGCATGGATAGAGAAGTGCGCGACCATGTCTTGCGGAGACTCATTGTACTTGTTCATCCACGACTTCGAAGTTCCGGGAAATGGACAATGTGCGCCTTCGCCTTCGATAGATCGATACAACGAGAGGTACAATGCAAGTGTTTGTGCAAGACAGTACGCATTATTGTTTGGTACAAATCCAATGATATTGTCTGGTCGAACCTCACACCAACTCCAGTTCTTTCCTTTCGAGATGCGTTTCAGGCAATCGATCTGATTGTAGTAAAAAAGCTGGGAAAGGTATGGCTCGGGAATGGGTGGCAGTGTCTCCTTGAGTGGTAGCTCATTCGCGAATGGAAACTTGTCCAGCATCTGGCAGCCGTAGATTTTGGTACCCGTGGGAAGGAGTACGAATGATAGTTTGGAGGAAAGATGGTCGATCGCAGTTACGGCGCGCTCGAGCATGGCTTCGTTGGTCTTGCACTCGGAGTCGGGATCATCGATCTGCTTGTATGCTTGGTCATGTTAGATCTGGCAGATTTCCCCAAAGCTTTTGACTTACAATAGAAGTACACTTGCGTCACAGTTTCAACGTCCTTGACCTTCTCTTTGATTTGCTTCTCCAGCTCCTCCTGCGTTCCTTTGACTAGATCAACACCAGATACAATTTGAAGTCTAGGATCATCAGGCCAGAGAGCCATCTCACGTGTTAGTGGCCGATTGACCATAGCTGTGACCCTTGAGAAAGCATCTTTGGAAGGATATCCGTTGAGGATGGCATTGACAATAGCCCACCCTGAGATACCAGAAGCACCGTAGATAAGCGCGTGGTTGCCCATTATCCAGATACTAGACACACGTCCAGATGGGTTATTTAGGAAGTATGCACAGTGAAGAGCTCGTGGAGACAGGAACGCGACGCGTAAAGGCCGGACCCTAGCATATGTACTTGCTTTCACATTTGAATTAGCCTGCTATTGCCTGAAATATACGACGATTACTTAAGTCAGCCACGCTGCAGCATGCAAGACCCCACTGCTCGGAACTGCCTGGTGCTGTCGATGCTGATGCGGAGAACAATATCCACGATGCGTCTGACAGGCACTTCCCCCGCAGTTTCATCGCCATGACTCGCACCGTGACGGTCTTTCGAGAGGTCCCGACCAGCGCCGTTGCACTACATGTGCGCATGCGATACGAAGGCATCCCAGGCAAATAAAGTCTGCGATAGCTTAGAGTCTGACGAGGTTTTGTGGTGGAGGGAAGGCATTATTGAGGCAAGTGCGGCTCGACAGCCGGGTGGCCTCCTCTTGGTAGAACTTCGTTTGTCACCACACCGATCTCGTCGCACTACTCTTCAGCTCACTTGCATCGCAATTATGAAAGTTAGATATCGGAAAACCCTAAAAGCTCGTAAGGTAATACGTTGAAATGGCGTAGCTGGAGCGAAAGCTCGTCGAGCCGGAGTGGGAATGTGGAAGCTCCATCAGATCAAGAGCTGTGGAAATAGAGTCGCAGGCTTATTGGCAACTTGGGTTAAGCAAGAGGAGTATTCTTCCGGCTATTTTCATATGTATGGATAACACTTAGACTGACATATTTACATACCCTCTACTACCTAGGTAGCTCTGACGGCACACAGTACCTCAAGTAGTAATAGTAGGATCATGTTGTTAACATGTTTGGTATTTGTTTGAGCACAAAAATCGCAGTGTGAGCGATATTCGACAAGAGGGTTTGGCATCTGTCCGGGTACGGGGTGCGCTGTAGAAGCAAGAGTGACCAGTGGCACACCCGCGTCTTTTTCGCTCACTTCGACATCCATCTCACACGTATAGACTACGGTGTCTAATAGTGACATTTGCCTGCCTTCTTCTAGATAGCAGCTATCCTTACTATCACTTTCTTCCCCGCATTTTTCAGCATGTCCCATACATATGGACTACGGTATCTTGTCGCTACCTTTACCTGCCGTTCCTAGGGTGGCGGTTAGCTTTACTTGACCAGGAACTCAATCTATAAAGTGAGACCGCCCTTATCCATTCAACCTTCTTGGTTACTCTCTTCACACGATCATATTGCATCACTGAGCCCTTTCAAGGAGACTCACCTTGGTTCCAAGATATCAGCATGGCAGGAGGGAGAGAAACACCAAGAAACTCGGCGGGAGATTCCGAGAGCAGACCTGCCACTAAATCAACGGACCGCCTGCGTGTAGCGGTACGCATCTTACTAGGATCTACGCTCTCAAGCAGATGAATTGACGTGACTACGCAAGAAAGATACATCCAAAGTTCCAACAACGCGCAGACAAAATTACATACTATATTCGAGAAGATGGTGCAAGAACTCGAACAGGCCAACAAAGGATTGGAAATGTACAGGAATGAGCTAGGAACGACCACGCTCAACCTGTATATCACCAACGAAGACCTAGAATCAACCACTGCCGACCTGCATAATACCAACAAAGAGCTAGTGACAGCTCTAGGTGCATTAGAGACGCAAGAGCAACTAAACTCAAAGCTGAGACACGCATTGGCGTTGGAGAAAGAGAAAGCTAGACAGGCTGATGATGCCCAGGCAAAGCTGGAGCAGCTCAAGAAGCATTGGTCGACACTGTTCAATGTCGTCAGTGATGATGAGACCAAACAATAGGTAATCGGTATGTCTAACGATTGCGGCTAGGATCATTGACATGGTGGGCATGTGGCACACTGGTATCAAGGTTCGCGAAAGAGCTGGTAATTTCTGAATTCTATTCCTGCATCATACGGTATCCTGAAGGTATCCACAGTATCTTGCTCCGATCACTACGATGCTACAGGGGAGGCATATCATGAAAGCAAGTCCATGGATATGAGTCTTTTGTACATAAAAGCTCAACGAATCCATCAGAACAGCGCAGGTGGATGGAATACTACTTTATCATCACTGCATACTCCATCTCAATGTAAATTGCACCAAAACCCCTTCGCCTTCGTAATAGGTACCCCAGTGATACTCCTCTCTTTCAACTTCCCCGCATCGCATGTATCCCATCTGCACTTGCATTAGCTCGTTCCTCTTCTCGATACCTTGTAGGAGACAAAGCTTACTGTGAAAAATCACAACCACACGCATCATACACCGTGGCGGATACTGCTTTGCCCGTGATGCCGTAACAAGCATCGCCATACATGACTTGTGTCTTGCCACCTTGGAGGTAGATGGTGCCGCAAATGAGAGGCCCGGATGCGGTAGGTGCCGCAGATGCGGAGATGGTGAGCATCGTGAGAAACGTGAGAGTAGCAGGATACATGGTGAAGAAATTACGCGAAAAGCAGTTCCTCGGAATTCGATCAATTTTTCTTCAATGCGACTATGGGCGAGTTAATATCGCTGGAGTTTCGAAATCTGTCCTGCGTGGAGCGAGTATTTATGCGAATTCGATCTCGGCGCCTATTCTGCAGTGTGATATGTGAAGTGTAGGGGTGGATGTAAGATTTCGCCTGTCAATCATATGTAAGTGCTGTATTACCAGGGACGTATACGAACGGGCGTTACCAATGGCATGGAACGCTCGATTGTGAGAGAATTGCAGCCTGCGTCTATCTGCGTGTAAGCTTGTAGCCGATGAATCACAACACAGAAACGAAACGATAATGTGGACTAGTCATAATGGATTTGTTTCTTCTTGTTCTTTTGTACTTCTAACCAACCCAGTCAATCTCCTTCTCGTACTGCCAGAAGCTACCCGTCTTATTCTGAATGTCATGGATTGCGAGCAGCACCGGAGTCTGAGCGCCTTCTTCCACAGTTCGTGTTCCGTTGCCTAAAAGGTTGAGATAAGACGTCAGTATATGTCTCACATTTGGCCCGTACAGGATGGAAGTTTGCTTACCCTTGGTCATGTCGGTGTTGACATAGCCTGGGCAGCAGGTGTTAATTAGCACCTTGCTTCCCTTCTCCTTCTCCTGCCTGGCCAGTGCCCGTGTACCTCCAATCAGTCCTGCCTTGCTCACAGCATACCCTGCACTAGGGAACCCAGCCTCCTTCTCTTTGCCAGCTTCAACAGCAGAAACAAATTCCTTCATAATCTTTGTAACATCCTCCTCAGTCTTGGAGGCGAGGAAGCGGTTGCGGACTTCTTCAGAGTACTTGTTGAGTTTACCAGCCATGCTGCCGAGGTTTACGATGCGACCAGTGGGCTTCAGGAGGGGGAGGAAGGTGTGGCACGCCTCGAGCGTCTTGTAGTAGTTGCAGTCGAGGGTAGTCTTAACGATGTCGGCGTCTAGAGCTATTAGCGAAAGTGATAAGTAACTTGGGAAGCAATACGTACTAAAGCCGTCCATCGCAATGCCCGCGTTGTTGATAACGAAATCAATTCCATCTCCGTGCGCCTGCTTCAAATGGTCGGCAAGGGTCTTGATGCTGTTACTGCTCGTGATGTCAAGCAGATGGAACTTAATCTCCGAAAGCCCACCGTCGGCCTTCAATGCCTTTGCCTCCTTGAGCTGCGCATCTTGCTCCAGGTCTTTGACGGCAGCCTCTCCCCTGCCCTGATCGCGAGCCGTCAGGTAAATCAGGAAAGGCCCATTGTTGAGCGGCGACTTGGGGTATTGAAGGGCGAGCTGCTGGACTATGGCGCGTCCAATACCCTGTAGGAATCAGTCTAGTGCATGCGAAGGGGTGTAACCATGTATAGGTACCTTGTTCGCGCCGGTGACGACTCCTATTCTGCTGTATGACATGATTGTTGGTATGGTTCAATCGATGGACGTTTGGAAAGAGGAAGTGAGAGAAGTAATCTGCCAGAGCATCTCCCCCACATCTGCATCATTAATCATCCTCAAAAGAGCTACGTTGTTCGGAGTTAAGAAGGTAGATACGTCACTAATCATGGATCTCTTCAGTATCGGAGGGCGCGATACCTAATTGCGTTAGCACTACCGCGGCCACGATCTCGCCGTCTTCCAAGATTTGCCTATGGGGTTTCACAAAACTGCCAACACTGCGTTTAGATTAGTGGTAGAAGGTCGGCGATCTGATGAGAAACTCCAGCTTTTCCTACATCATATCTGGACTTTCTGGTACCTGAACTACACGAAAAGCGTCCTACCAATAACGACCGTCAACACAGACACGGTAGATGTATCGTCTGATAATTGCTGCATGTCCTCCCACTCGGCGTATCGCTCCCAGTCTGCAGGTACAAGTCGTAGTAACTTGCATCACCCGATTTACATGCGAGGAAGTTCAACTCTAGATCGCACGTCAGCACCAGCGAGGGTAACCCGTACACATCACACCTCTTCGAATACTTACGTCGTCCATAGCTGCTACTCTGCACAGTGATGATAGTATCACCCTCTAATCCCCATGCTGTCGTCTGCCCAGCTGTCCCCCAGACCAATGGCTTGTAGCTCGTGGATGCGGTCGCGATGTTCAAGTATAAACTTGTCTTCTTCGATTGAATAGTGCCACCAATAGTAAATTCGTCAGCTGCACTTTCGGGGCCTAAGACGGGGATTGATGCTATGCTTGTCAACAGGGACTCGCTGGAGAAGTAGGAACGAAAACGTCAAGAGAAGGAGGTTGGCATACCATTATTAGGGTTGACTTGGAGGTATAGATGATAGATTGGGTCGCGCACACCGCGAATCTTGCCTACGGTTGTTGCGCTCCCAGCGTTCTCAACGGGCGCCGCGAGTGCGCACGATACCACGAGCAAGACCTGGGCGAAGAACGTCAGCATTGCAAAAATATTAGTTCTTTGGCTTGGAAACACAAGACGGAAACTCAGTTCGATCTCCGGGCCTCTTTCTATATAATCACATCCCCGCGTTACCTGACCCTGGCCTGCAATATCACAGATTAATTGCAGTCGCGTCACGCGTAGACATGTTTACCACCGGATATAAAACACTCTTAATATGTCACAACCGTCAAAAGGGATTACAAAGGAATTCGTCTTACTATCATAAAAATCCATCACTGGACACAGCAAGAGATCTATGCCATTTCGGCTGCAGTCGATTGGTAGAATGTCATTTTCATCACCTGCGCTAACCCAAAGAATTAGCGCGAAACGCTAACACCGTGCACTTGGCAGTTGACTCCCACATCTCTCTCTCTATCTGCAAACCGACCACCATCTTCGATTCGCGATCTGGTGCCACAGTGCTTGGATCATACGGCTGCACCTATTGGCTCCAATGATGATATATGTTTGTGATGACTGGACTAACATCAACTGAGTCAGTCAACCCATGGGTCACGGCCAGACATGATCATCAAGCGACACGCAAGGGAATGGTCAGCCCAGCTGACGAACAAATGAACGATCGTGACGATGCTAGATCTACATCTTCGTCTTCAGTGCGTGTCTCTGCCGCAACCGGAGCGTCTACGCCTGTCACTCCAGCATTCTCAGCAACTGCCGAAGTTAGCAAGAGTGTAGAGACCAAAGCACAGGATATGGATCGGTACATCGCCGTTGGCTGCCTTCATCTCGAGCAGCCACTCAACGTCACCTCATCTTCGCCATCGGATGGCGATTGGGTTGAGTTACTGTATCAAGAAATCCCAGACGAAATCAAAGTAATCATCAGCATAGAAGCATCAAGACTGCTGGAAGCTCGCTGGATCCGGTTGTTTTCGCGCCAACAAGCTTCAGAGAATGCGTCTCTTCACGGCGTAGTTCGTGTCTACTTATTGCCAGGGTAAAATTCATGTTACGAATAGTAATTAGGACAATTAGCTAACTTTCAAATAGTATGTTCTATCTTTGTATTCGTTAGCTTAGGCAGAGAAACTTAGTAGTAACGTTTAACATTCTGCTGCCTACGTAGGCAGGTCTAACACAGCGTTTAACTTTCTCCTACTATGTAGGCGGCAACGCGTTAAAAGTTTTACTCTAGATTTCTGTTCGTGCTAACAACTTGATAGAAGATTGGGGTCGCCGTTCGATTGATCGTAACAGCAAGAGTTTGAAGACTGCTTTGCGACAACTGCTCCAACGAATCGACATCTCACCGGGAGTTTGGAATGGCGAATCTGGACTGGGTGAGATACTTCATTTCGATCCTTGGGCTGACGCGGAACCTTCTTCGTTGTATTACATGTTCAACAAGCTGCCATCACCTACGCCAGATTCGGCGAAGATCAGGTGCCGTTATACACGTGCCGCCGTACAAGATGTTTTGGAGTCTGCAGTAGTCTCTGAATGGTCGGAGCATGGTGAACAAGCACTGCCGGGGCTCAAAACCAGATTGTACGCGTATCAGACACGTTCGGCGAGCTTGATGCTGCAACGAGAAGCTTCGCCACAGCTGCAGCTTGATCCAAGATTGGAAATTCGCACTGCACCGAACGGGAAGAAGTTTTACTTTGGGGCTCGAGATGGGTTCTTTTTGCAGGAGCCGCGCTACTATGAAACGAACCGGGGTGGTATTCTAGCAGAGACTATGGGCTTGGGAAAGACAGTCATCTGCTTGGCCGTTATTTTGGCAAGTAAGAATCATCTTCCTAAGACGCCGGCCGCGTACCGGCGATCACCGCCTTTGCGAAATGGACCTGGATCATTGGCAGACATGGTAATTTCTGCCGCGGGCCGACACTCTATTCCGATGAAAGCGTTCCTTGAACAGTCAGAGGCAAATGGGGCTGGAGATATGGCGATGTTCAAAGATGCCTTTGACCAAGACATACCATTCTACGAGATACCACCGGATCTCCCACGTATGAACAGGAACACTCGGATACCACTACCGCGTCAATTAGTGCTCTCTTCCGCTACCATCATTGTCGTACCGCGAAACTTGCTGCATCAATGGCAGTCGGAAATACAAAAGCATGTTCTCCAGGGTGGTCTAAAGATCCTCGTGGTAGATTCGGTGCCCAGGCGCACCAGAAAGACCAAGATAGTTCAACAAGCTGACAAGACCATGGAGTTTCGGAGCGAACTACCAGCTCCCACCGAACTCATGAAGTTCGATGTAATTCTGTTTACTCGCAACCGCTTCGAACAAGAGATACAAGATGGCCAGGACGAACTCGGACGACGCATGGGTACTGGTGTCTCTCGTGTTTGCAATTGTCCTTACATCGGAGCAACCCGGATACCTGATTGCAGTTGCGTTGACACTGATAGAGTCTACGAATCGCCATTGAAGAAAGTGCACTGGCTACGTATTATCATCGATGAAGGCCATTCATTCTCGAGCTCTCTCTCGAATGCTGTACTGGTCGCTAAACAGATACAGGCCGAGAGACGCTGGGTCGTATCAGGAACACCTGCGAAGAATTTAGTAGGTGTGGAGGTAGACATGTCTACAGTTGACTTAGAAAGCAATCCTGCGCTGCAGCGCGAATTCGCTATTGATCAGAGGAAGTCTTTCGACTTTGATTCAGATACCAAAGCTGCCAAAGCTCTAGGTATGCTCGCTTCGAACTTTCTTATGGTTCGACCCTGGTGCGACAACTCAGAAGGTAAACTTGATTGGGATGAGTATATCTACCGTCATGAGCACCACTACAGGAAGACCTACTCTGGGTTCTCTTCGTGCTTCGCCCGAACGCTGGAAGGCTTAGTTGTGAAGACACGGCCGGAAGACGTCGAGAAAGATATTATCTTGCCTCCGATGAAACACCGAGTTGTGTACCTCAAGCCATGTTGGTTTGACAAAATGACGGCCAACCTCTTCATTCAAGTCCTGCGGGCAAATGCCATCACAAGCGAACGGACCGACGTTGACTACCTCTTTCACAAAAACAGTGTCAAAGCCCGCCACAGTCTCATTAGGAATTTGCGTCAGTCCAACTTCACATGGACAGGATTCAGTCTTTTGGATGTAGTCTCTACGCTTGAGACTAGCAACAAATATCTTGCTAAAGAGGACAAGAACTGCTCTCTTGATGACGCAAGATCACTTCTGGAAAGTAGCCAGGTCATATCGAAGCTCGCGGCTTCCGCCGAATGGATAGCGTTGAGTACATCTCATGAGGTGGGGATAGCTGTCGAGGGTTGGCCGAAAAAGACCCAAGAGGCTTTCGCACTCGTTTACCCGGCGAAGCCTATCATGATCGGAGTCACACAGCTCATTGAAGGCCAACTTCACGTCGATAGCAGCATATGTTCACCAGACCCCACTGCCGGGCTAGAGGCTGTCGGGCATGCTGCGAAAGAAAAGGCCATCGCAATGGCCGAAGAAGAGAACAAGATTAGGGATTCGGGCGAGGGTGCAGTCAATGTCTTGCCCTTGCAAAGGACTGGAGTTCCTACTTCATTAGTAAGGGGTCAGCAGCCACCGACTAGTCGGCGAGCATCAGCTATTGCAAGCAAAGCTTCCCCTCAGAAGCCAACAGGAATCAAGCCTGCGAAGGACGTCGAGGGTCTCACGGATCACGCATCCCCTGTTCGCTCGAAGAAACGCAAGCTCACCATTTCGGACGAGACGGCAGAACTCTCCAAAGACTCAGAGTTGCGAGATACACGCTTCGTAGGCACAACGTCAGCCAAACTTACATATCTCCTGGATAAGGTGATGCAACATCAGGCAGAAGAGAAGATCATTATCTTCTATGATGGCGACAACGCGGCGTTCTACATCGCCCAATGTCTTGAGTTGATGTACGTCAATCACCGCATCTATGCCAGAACTCTAAACAACACGCTGCGATCCGAGTATGTACGGCTGTTTAATGAGGACCCAGATGTGCGCGTCTTGCTCATCGACGTCGCGTGTGGTGCTCTGGGATTGAACCTGAACGCGGCAAGTGTTGTACTCATTGTGAACCCAATCAATAGGCCGAACATTGAGGCTCAAGCTATCAAACGAGCCCATCGTATTGGCCAGACCAAAGAGGTACTCGTCGAAACCCTGGTCCTTGAGAACACGATTGAACATGCAATCTTCAACCGCGCGAAGACGATGTCTCGCGCCGATCACCAAGAAGCGAAGGAGCTTGAAGACGACGCTGGTATTGTCGAAATCATCCAGAATGCGCAGATACTACCTGTAGATGATGATGAGGGTGAAGGGATGTCCAGCTTTGCACCACTGCAGACACCGCAGCAGGTCTTTGGGCGATCAAATCGGCACAAGTACCATCGATATGGAGTTGCAGAGAAGAAGACACAAGATGGGCTGCAGAAGAAGGCAAAGACTTCAAAGGGTACAAGGAAAGACAAGAAGGATGATATGAGTGGTGCTGAAATCGCGACATCTTACAGGGCCGACTCAGATCCTGGCCTGCCAATGCGAGGGCAAGCTCCAAGTGGTAGCCTATTAGCTGCTGATGCAGCCTCGTCAGGACCAGTCGCTAGCATCTTTGGCAATGGCTGAGGCACAGGGAGTTGGGGTTCTCTAATACCTGAGCCATACAGGCTTGTCTTTGTCTGATGACGATTGGGTTGTTTCTTTTCACGTGTTATACCCATCGAGATTGGCTTCGGCTTCTGTTCTCATCGCCTCAATGCCATTGATAACTTAACGGACATTAAAATTGTACTTTCTCAAATACACTTCCACAATGTCCGTCTAATGCGTATTCTGTGGCGAAATATTTACAATGCTGCCTATCTAGAACGCCGATAAACGCCATGCTAACCAGAACCTGCGTTATCGCATCTCTTGCTGACCATCCGTGCCCTCTACATCATCATGCTTGACCCATACACTTTCCATCGCCTGTCCCAGGATTTGCATGCCCTCTTCGATCTCTGCTTCAGTGATGACAAGTGGCGGAACGAACCTCAAGGTGTTTGTGCCGCAAGTGATGATCAACAGACCTCTCTCACGGGCAGCAGTAACGATGGGTGTTGGATCGACGTCAAGTTGAAGACCTAGAATCAGTCCCTTGCCTCTGACCTCCTTGATCTGGCTCGAGAAGCGCTGTCGGAGAGCGTCAAAGTGCTTGCGGAATGCTTGCTCTTTGGCAGGTATCGAGTCGAGGATCTCTGGCGATGACAGGCGGGAGAGGATGTATGAAGCGACGCGCGATCCAAGAGGGTTGCCACCAAAAGTGGTGCCGTGGTCACCGGTCTTGATGTGCTCGCAGACAAAGTCGTTGACGATGGTCGCGCCGATAGGGAAACCATTGCCTAGTGCCTTTGCTGTGGTCACAATGTCGGGATGGCATTCCTTGGGGTAGCCTCCATGTGCCCAGAAGGTACCTGTTCGGCCCAGACCGCACTGTATCTCGTCGAAGATCAGGACGGCACCGACTTCTGTGCACCTCTTTCGGAGCGCGAGAAGGAACTCGGGTGTCGCAACGTTGACACCACCCTCTCCCTGGATTGGTTCTACAATGACACCGCATGTCGCATCGGTGACCAGCTCGTTGACTGCGTTGACGTCGTTGAACGTGCCGTACTTGAAGCCAGGCACCATTGGTGAGAATGGGGTCTGGTATTTGGGGTTTGGCGTCGCGCTCAAACTTCCCATAGTCCGGCCATGGAATGAGTTGTGGAACGACACAAACTCGTACTTCTCCTTGTCCGGTGACATTGACTTGCCGACCTTGCGCGCGAACTTTATGGCGGCCTCGTTGGCCTCGGAACCGCTGTTACAGATGAATGTGCGAGTCGCGCTGGCGAAGCCTCCGGTCGCATGCGTGAGCTGAATAAGCTGCTTTGACAGCAGACCTGTGTGTGGGTTGTGGTAGAGGTTCGATGTATGCATGAGTTGCTTGGCCTGTACAGTGGTCGGTTCGCCGTATTCTTCGTACTGGTGGCAGACGTACCTGTTCTGAAATGACCTGGGCTACGCCAGCGTCGCAGTGTCCCAGCGCGTTGACGGCAATACCAGCTGTGAAGTCTAGGTACTTCCTGTTCTCGATGTCCCACATGTAGCATCCCTCCCCCTTCTCGAACATGGGTGGTGGTCGTACATAGGTCGGGACCATGTATGGCAATTGCTGGTTGACAAGGCCGGCTGTCTTGGATGAGGAGGGCGGGTCGGGTGTAGGTAGTGTAGAGTCGCGCTATAGGGTGTCATTATGGCAGGCGTTTAGAGAATGTGAATCAGTTGGTACTCACGGCTATGGCGTCCTTCACATCCTGCGGTAGACTGGACCCCCTAACTGCAGAGGCTGCGGAAGCAAACCGCGTGGAAGTGTAGTTGACGCGCGATGTACGCAATGCAGCGCATACCCGCTTGGAAGCCATTCGTGAAGCCATTGTAATCCAGAAAGCTCAAAACGCGACTCACGAACTTCAAGGCCTCATCAAATACACTCCAAATGACTGTTCGCCGTGACGCAACTTCCCAAAATTTTAGCGTGCATGATAAGATAGGCCGAGGTCGGAGGGTCCGGGGTGGGGCGACAGGGGTCCATGAGCTGGCCATGCTAACATAACTAGATCCTAGTCGTGCCTTCGAATTTATACATTGATAACTCTTCTCTTCTCTGGCCATCGCCTTTTTCCAAACAGTCATGGGCGTGAGAATTCTTCGGTGGTGCATGCTTCGCGACCTTGTCTTCAACATAGGTCGACACACTAAGCTTCAAATGCAGGCACAGTCTTCTTGTTGATTCTCTTGCGTTTTGGAAACAACCCATCTTAGTAAAGAACCTCTATGGCTCTGTATCAAATGAAGTACAATTGCGTCGCACTCAGATTGACTTCCTCGCAGAACACTTTCACCACGTAGGACTAAGCCTTCATCTTTCTATCTTTGCCTATGTCAACCAGAAATCCAGGTCTTTGTGTGAAGAGGCCTGGAAAAAAGGTTCATGGTAGCATTGGTGTGGTCTTCCAAACGGAGGTAACGTAGATCCGTGCATCGTTGCTAGGGTGCACTTGTTGAGGCTGTGTTGGGGGAACACATAGGATAATGATATCAGACAGGCGCGGCTCTTGCGCAGAGCTACATTACTGTCATAATAATGCTTCTGATGTTAGGACTACGCAGTTAAAGCGCATGACAAGGTTATAAACGCTAGCAGGTATATGAGAGTTAAAAGACCCTAGCGCGGGTGGTGATCGTAGCAAGCTATGCCCACAACATAGTGAAGAGATATTTGATAGGCATCAGCATGGTGAGTCGAATATGCGATTCTTCTTCGAGTAAATTCGTAAGGACCGTTGCGCAATAAAAAAAGATCCTAGAGTAGCGACATTAGCGTACTTAGAAATTTTCTGATGCAACCACACCCCACTGCGCGTACAACTAGATATTACAATACCTTGCGAACCCCGCCATCGAAAACAGGCATCGACGCGAATAGATTTCGCGACAATCTCCCAAGGGAGTCTCGTTGGTGTAGTTGGTTATCACGTGGGTCTCATATCATCATGTATGACTACTACGAAGTAGTAGATATCCCAAGGCCGCCAGTTCGAGTCTGGCACGGGACAGTTTATTTTTTGCCCATCTATGGATCTGTTCTCTCCGGTTGGTGTATTTTCCTGAGCTTAATCAGGGTCGTATTTTTGGAGGCTGGCTTGTATTTCGCAACTGGTCAGCTGCGAGACCAGTCAAAGTGGTGATCAGAGGCCCGCGTCATAGTTTCATTTATCCGTTACGGTGGAGCGGGATTATAGTATACAATGAAGAAGGTTAATAGGACAAAATAAATACTGTACTATGGTAAAGTCTACAACAGCCTGCAATTAAAAAAATGTATCACATTTTATCCTTTTTAGTCATCTATGGGCTCTATCTAGATCTCTAATATTCTTATTACGGATGATATAGTAGGCTAGAAAGGAGATGTTGCCAAGACATGATTGGCTTTCTCCTCAAACAGGGCGGAATACTAGTCGAGTAAGATATCATGGAAGGTAGCGGCATTCGATTAAGCTGGTTACAAAAGAGCCTGGGTAACGGGTCACGGCATCACCACACATCTGAGCGTTTACTAGAACTGTTTGTATTCTTGACTAAGAGCTCGTCTCGCAAAGTGAGCGTGCGCATCCGTAATAATCTTCATAACCTGGAGTCGCCAAATAAAATGATAATTCCGCGAAATGGTTGGCCTCCTCCGACAAGCGTGTGTCCCACTTCCCGACTCCACTAATATGTAAATCAACTGTTTGAAGGATATCGATAATCAACGACAGGAAAGAACTCCTCTTTAATCTGACGTGGAGAAACGAAGCGAAACATGGGATTTGGTGAGCCAGCCTTATCGTTTGTACCACTTGCGCGACTTCCACCGAAGCTCTGTTGGCCGATGAGCGCAGCGGTGGTCTTGCAATCTGATGACTTGTTAGTGACTGAGTTGAGCACTATTCCGCACAAAACGTACTGATGTAGAAGTTGCCAGCAGAATAGCGTAGCGCATCTTCCGCCTCTCGTATAGCGGTACGGGAATTGGCGAAAACGGCACCTGTTAGCGCAAAATTGCCACCAGCTTGATCAACCTTCTCCAGGATTTGACTCCATTCTGAATCAGGGTAGACGTGTATGGCGAGTACGGGGCCAAAAATCTCATAGTTGAAGAGCTTATGGTCTGGCGAGCCTGCAAGGTAGACGGTTGGCTTGATGTAAAAGCCTTCAGAGTCATCATAGGTACCGCCGACTAGGAGCTTGAGCGAAGAATCCTGGTTGCTCTCGTCGATGACAGCCTTGATCTTTTCGAATGACCGACGGTGGATTACTGGACCCATGAAAGCTGCGAGGTCTTCATGCGGGTTGCCCTGGGTAATACCCTTGACGTCTTCAACCAACGTGTCGATGAACTCCTTCGATCGCGATTCCGGAAGATATAGGCGAGAGGTTGCCGAACACTTTTGACCCTGGTACTCAAACGAAGCGCGAACGACGTGCTTCACCGCAGATTGGACATCCGCTGTTGGATGAAGGAGAGTGAAGTTCTTGCCACTAGTCTCTCCGACCATTCGGGGAAATTCGCGATATGTGCTGTTGCCGATGCCTTGACCAATACGAGCACAGAGAGATCTAAAAACGTCTGAGGAGCCAACAAAGTTAAGCCCAGCGAAGTCTCGGTGGTTAAGCACAACATCGTTGATCTCCTCAGGCTCGCCGGGCACGAACTGGATAACGTCCTGTGGTAGACCAGCTTCAAGGAGGATCTTGTACACAATGGTGCTTGCGTAGATGTTCGAAGGAGATGGCTTCCAGAGTACGACATTACCCATGATGGCAGGGCCAGAGATGAGGTTACCGCCGATAGCGGTGAAGTTGAATGGCGAAACAGCGTAAACAAATCCTTCTACCGGGCGGTAGTCCATGCGAGACCACATTCCGTCTGTACCTCGCTCGGGTTGTTTCTCAAGAATTTCCGCAGCGTAATTGCAGTTCAGACGGAAGAAGTCTGCCAGTTCAGCAGCAGCATCCACCTCGCCTTGCCAGATGTTCTTGCCTTGGCCAAGCATGGTTGCAGCAATTAGTTCATACCGGTACTTAGTTGCAACCAGCTCGGCGGCTTTGAGAAAGATTGCTGCTCGGTCAACGAACGCCGTGTTTTCCCATGACTTCTTCGCTTTGAGGGCCGAATCGATGGCTTTGGATACCTGCTCCTTGGTTGTAAGTGGGTAGTTGGTGAAGGTTGTCTTGTGGTCTGCTGGCAATGGCTGATCCCAAGATCTATGAACTTGTTGTGATTTGCCGTTGAAGTGAATTTCGCTTTGGAGAGGGATCTGTGACTTCATACGCTCCAGGGTCTCCTCTAGCTTAGTCCGCTCTGGAGAACCTCTCGTGTATGTCGGATTTGGCTCGTTGCGTGCATCAGGTAACCGAAATGGTACCGTGGCTTTCGTGCGTAGTTGACAATGAAACGACGCGCATCTTGACGTACTTATCAGAGGTCGTCTTCTGTTTTGAGAGAGTCGTACGAAAGATCGGATGTTCGACATTTTGGGAGTGGATAGTGGGGCATAGAGAGATATGAGGGAGTGATGCAGATGGGCACTCCATTGCAGGACCGCGCTTCCTATAGCTACCACTTCATGACAGTCCACAACGGCAATGCGATCCGATCATCATTCGCAATGCATAGCGACACCGCTACAGTTCTCATGTCCGCGAATACCCGTTGTTGACTTGTAGTACGATGACTTTCGGTTGGCTCTAGAGCTGATAAGCTTACCACGTCAAACCCCAACTTCGCATCGGCTCGAAAGTCGATCGGGAGGCCTCCCGATGCATAACCACACCCGTGGCAGTCCACATGAAAAGTCGACAGCAAAGTACACGACAGTAACATGGAAGGGCTTTTGAACATAGTGACCATGTTTTAGTATCGTTATTGCGTCTTATTGTGCATTCTATAGAACATGCCTTGGGCTTGTTAGAGTAGCCTTCGGTACTGCGCGTTCTTAGTTTTCGAGCACATCCAACACGCTTGGGCTCCAGGGCTTTCGTCCCAGAAACGCTACTTCTTATGCCTTAACCACAGTGCTCTCCTGCAGCAGGCTGACAGCTCGAACAATCCAGCTTCGCAGTCAACCCTTCGCCTGGAATAGTGTTCGGAACACCTGATGATGAGCGTTTCTGCAAGAGGGACGGAAGCGCATCCGTCGCACGTCTCAGCGCGCGATGCGCTAGGCCAACCCCTCTGCCAGGTGGTGCAGGGGAGCGAGCAGGGCGTCATAACCTGCAGACGCCAATCCAAGGTTTGACCGAGCACTGGAAAGATCATGCCGCGAATTTGGCGTACATGAGAAGCGGAGCTCAACGAGTAGAGGGTCTTTGAATAGAAGCAGAGACGGCAGCTCACGTGCGGATGAAGACCAAGCGGTGACCCCAAATCTCCATCCGCCCCGCACATAGCGGCATCTAGCTTCACTCAGCCATCGACATCCCTAGCTCGCGAGCGTAGAGCTTCTGCATTCGCGTTGGCGCATCGCTTCTCGCGTGCTGTTGTTGATGAATGAGTATAGTGACTGAACAGGTTCGTTATACTATCATCCAAAATTTGAAGGTTTTCAAGATCGAGCCTCAGCAAACACGATGGCAACCTCCAACGACCATCGGAAAGGGACAAAACGATCATCGAACGCGTACGCAGCTTGCATGGAGCCAGAGAAATCGCACTAATAACAACTACAAACAGTTGCTCGCGGTGCAGGAGACAGAAGATCAAGTGCTCGGGACAGCAGCCGTGCTCAAATTGTGGTAAACGAAGTCTTACTTGCATCTTCGACGATAGAGAGAACAAGGTTCTGGTGACTCAAGGGTAGCTATTGACGTACCCTTTTCGGAAGAGTAGACGCTGATGATACTTAGCTATCTCTCCGATCTTCGGGCAAAGGTGGCACGATTGGAGCAAAACCCAGGGAATTCGTCAGTAGCATCTCAGGCACAAACAACGGCAGACAATGCGACGGGTCAGGAAGAAGATAGAGACTCACCGGAACTGGAAGATGGCCAACAGCTGGCGAATCCATCTAGCATTGGGGGCACGAGAGACAATTCGCCTGGGCACAGACCCGAGCCTGACGAATCGAACTTAATCAACCCACTTATCGAGTCCTCCAAGTTCATGTCGTCTTCTTCTGGACAAACTTGTAAGTCTGCCAGCTGCCGTTGATGACTTCTGATTGATGGTCTTTGCAGTCTACCTTGGCACCTCTTCAAACTGGTCGTTCCACGGACAAATACTCAACCTGGTGCATGAGCACACTCGAAAATTACCTCTTCCAAGTGCCGACTTACTGTTTGATGGCTCAGCATATGAATTACCCTGGGACGGTACTCGTAGTCTTCCAGATTCGAGTTCTCCGATTATTCCCAGTATCGATTACGCCATCTTCCTGATTAATGCTGTGAAATTCCATTGCGCTCAGCTTGTACATCTTTTCGATGAAGACGAATTCATGGCAAACCTGCATGCCTTCTATTCGAATTCCGAGAGAGGTGCATGGAAAGAGAGCCTATGGTATATACATTTCCTTCTGGTACTGGCTTTCGGAAAGACCTTTATCCAGGCAAAAGGTAACACACCGCGACCGCCAGGTGCCGACTTCTTTATACAAGCCCTTCAGCTACTCCCGGATACCAACCGGTTATGCCGCGAGCCTGTAACGGCTGTTGAAATACTTTGCTGTATAGCGCTGTACCTGCAAGCCCTAGATTCAAGGAATGCAGCGCATGTAACAGTACGCGATCATTCCCGCCCTTATGCGCTCGCTAACGTTAGTCAGGTAGGCCAAGCTATGCGCATCTCAATGATCCAAGGCATGCATACGGATATGCCAGTTGAGAACCTGGGCCAGCCTCTTGTCCAGCGATGCCGCAAAATTTGGTGGACAGTCTACATCCTCGATCGCCAAATGACGTCCTTGATGGGTCTGCCTCAATCGATCCAAGACGATGATATTTCCTGCCGACTCCCAGACTTCATAGGCTCCGCTCAGCGAGCTGCAGCGCTCAACATGCAGATCAAACTTGCACGTATACATGCCCAGATAGCGAGAAGTATGTGACGCGACGTCCACTGCGTACAAGCGATAGCTGACTGGGTCAACTAGCTGTATATGGCTCGAAAGGTCGACTACGCAAGAAGTTTGTCGTAAGCATTAAGGCTGTATTGGACGATCTTGGATCCTTGGCGGAAGAGCTCCGACAGTCATTTCCTCTACATGATGACGAACGCTTCGGAGGCATCTCGAGGATGCCAGCACACCTACATCTACTCTACTTCCAGGCAAGGCTCTTATCTTTTGCAGCGTCGAATCAGCCTGACAAATCTTTAGACGATTGTTGTTGTAACAAGACCGTTGCTTTTCTGCTGCTTGAAGAAAGTCTTCGAGTCACCAAGGGAAGTGCAACCATTGCTCTCATCCCGCAAGATACGGCATCTACTACATATATCACTCGAAGCGTCTCAAAAGATCTTGAATATTTTAGAAAGCTTGCAAGATCAAGGACTACTTGGTACGAGAGCCTGATCATATAGACGTCTCGTATACTAACTAAATGATAGAGACATTCCTCCCATGGGATCTTGACGCACTTTTCGTATCGACCATGATTCTCATCCTGACGTGCTTCGTCGACTTCAGCTTGATGGACAACCAAAGAAGCCACCTAGACAAAGCCTACAGCTTTATGGAAACCATAGTATCTAGCGGCAACCGAATCGCGGCATTTCGAAACGTCGAACTCCATAAACTTGAAGAGATGTTATCGGAGTATTCCGAGAACAGAGAGCGGCCATCCACCGCGGCTTCCAACACGATCGACGCAGGACCAGGCATGCAATGTCCACTGTCTTTCCCTGAAGGGTATCAATCCACAGCCGGATTACTGAACTCGGAAGACACAATGCCACCTCCTTATACTGGAATAAGTGACGAGGGGAGCGGATTTGGTGACGACTTGACGGCCGAGCAGATCCTGGCTGTGGCAGAGTCTATGGATATTGAGGGAACAGATTGGCTATCTTTCGGGACTTTAGATAATTACCAGATCCTTGATCCGCGTTTGCAATGAAGGAAGCCAAACGAGCTCGTACGTTATATGGCGATGATACAAGGCTCAGCCAGCAATCTCATATGCGAGAAGCTTTACAATCTGGACTTGGCCGCTTCTGCCTGTACCTCGCGAATCTCTCTAACATCCCCTACCCGCCAGCTCACGTCATCGTCAAAACTCTCTCCCTTGGCTTTCTGCTTCGGTATCCTCCAACGCCACCTTGAGATAGTTTGCGTCCCGTCGGGGGAGTTTAGCAAGCTATCCACCCACCTTCCGACTATCGGGAACATCTTAAAACCATGGCCGGAGTCACCCGAGAGTATCATGACAGAAGAGCAAGTCTCGGGTACGTAGTCGACGATGAAATCGGAGTCCGCCGTATCCGCAAACCAGCATATGAATTTCTCTACTAGCGGTCGATCGGCAAGGTAGGGCAGCGTTTGGCGAAGCAGCTCGCGCATCTTCCTTTCGTCTTCTCTGGGTACAAAATGCATGAGCCCTTCAGGTGCTTCAGAAACCCCCGTGGCTAGATTGGTATTAATGTAGCCGCCACCCATTGGACACAGCTTGAGGAGGTTCGTCTTTGGGTCTGGTTCGAAGAAGAAGCCGAGATCGCGAGCATACGTAACAGGGATGCCCCGCAGTACTGCAGTCTCATCGTCGGTGAGGCGGACGTGTGCAACGGACCAAGATTTGGCAGACACTTCAGTACCCAGCTCGGGAACAATCTTGTGTGCTGCAGCGCCAACGGTGACGATGACTAGCTTCGCAACGTGGAATCGCCCGGCTTTTGTTTGAACACCAATGCTCTTCCTGCTCTCGCCCGAGCCCTCATATACAATCTTCTCTATCGCACCGACCTTCTCACCCAAAAAGAATCTGACCCCAGCCTTCTTTGCCTCGCGATATATCCCCCTCAATGCATTGGCGGAGTGCACATAGCCGTTGTATTTGCAAAAATACCCTTTCCAGCCAGGCATCTCCCCGGTGAATTGCCACGCCCCAGCTGTATTGCGTACATCTTCGGGTCCCGAGATGGGATGGAGGAAAGGTCTCATTTCCGGATGTTTATCAGCAGCTGCTTGAAATTTGCGCATCGTGTCCACTGCCTTTTGTGGTGCAGTACCAGAAACGCAATTTAGGAAGCCAACGCGGTGGAAATAAGGTGCGTATAGGGAAGTCTGCCAGGCATGGGTGGCTTCCTTTCGTTACGTCAGTTGTTGGCCTATTGATCATCCTTCCATAGCAATGCTTATGACATCAAGAAAACTTACGACAGCCAAGTTTGTGTAGAATTCATCTTCATATTCCGCACGCATGATCTTATTCAGGTCATTTGCAGCAGACCATCGCGACGGAATCTCCTCATCTTTCTCGAAGACCGTGATGTTCGTGTAGCCTTTACGCGAGAGCTCAAGAGCTGTGGAGAGACCGAATGCTCCACTGCCAATGATGGCTATGGAATCGCTTTTCGAGACGACCATGGTAATAAGACAGCAAAAGGCGTGAGGTGTGGTTGCAAGTGCTAGGACCTTGAAGGGTTACTGTACAAGTTGCGCATGTGCTTGTGTACTCATGCGACGTGTATGCCAAGCCCGACCATCAGACAAAGCTATTGGCAGAAGGTCCATCATACTGTCGATACGGGAACGGTGCCGCTATTGCATGTATTGCCGACCCCCGCAGTTGTTGTGAGCGTTGTCGTTTTATCGTGATCCCATCCCCCTTATCCATGGGATTGGCGCTAGTGTTGTCGATAAGACCAAGGCGCATGATGCCCAACACCATGATTCGCTCTCCACCTCTTCCTGCACGATCGGATAGCCTCCCGATGCTGCAACAGCGCAACTATCCGACCGTTTGTTTTTCCCTCTTATGGACTATGATGATGAGTCTGTCCGTTAACATCGCGACGCCCGACGACAGCCGGGATGTTAGCTTCGATCGACCTTGCCCGGTTGGGGCTGCGTGGCCTGGAGCGATTCAATCTTCGGATGCATCGCGAGACGACACTGGATGGATGGCAAGACCTTGAAGCCGCATGATATGGATCTCGATCTACGTAATGCCAAATCAATTACAGGTACGAATACGGAATTTGGCATGTAAGGATCCCGGGACTATGCGTGTGTAGTGAACGTCTCGTATGTGATGAGCGACTCATACGCTACTACACAGTGTCGCAACAGCTTGCAGCGAATGAAATGGATATATGGAGGAAAGAGAGAGCATTGGGAGCTGTTCTGATGGGAGATATCGCTGCTGCGACCATCTCTGCAACAACGATAAGTCCCATATTGGCAGCTATTGACCGGTAAGTCTTGCTCTATTATGTTACAGATCCCATCTTTTAACAGCATTCCAGATCAGTAGTTGAAAATGCCGCCTCAGCAAATTATCCTTTGCTACCTACCTTGAAAACACACATTCTCAACTCAGTCCAACGGCCACGGCTGCTCTTCGCAACGAAGCCTTTTTTCTACATATGGACGCTCTATGCAGCCACATATATAACCGCCAATACAGTCGAGAGCATAGGTACCGCATTGACAGCAGGAGCGGATCGAATACTCGTCAGTTCCATCACGTTCGTGTCAACGTGTCTCATCAACGTACCTCTAGGGGTATGGAAAGACGTGCGTTTCGTCCAAACATATGGCAGACCTACAGAGCAAGTTGGCCTCCCTAGTATGGCAAAAACGATGAGATCAGCGACCCCTCCGATACAGTCTATTACCCCAGCACGAACGAATAGATCTTCACGAACTGTCGCCGCAACCTTCCTCTTCCGCGACGCCATCACCATATTCGGATCTATCAATCTACCGCCAATGCTGAGCTCAGCCATCTCAGCACAGGACTCTCTCATCTCAGATATTCCGGCTACAAAGGCGGCAATACAAATCTTTACGCCAGTACTATCCCAGGTGGTGGCAACTCCCATACATTTGCTAGGCTTAGATCTCTACACCAGCCCAGAAAGTGACAATGCGGTACGGATAAGGAGAATGAAAGAAAGCTTGATGCCGATGACGGCGATGAGATGTGCGAGGATCATTCCGGCCTTTGGAGTTGGCATGGTGATGAATACTAGGTTAAGGGACTACTTTCATGAGAAGGTAAGAGGTAGTAATTCCCCTCAACCAAGATGAGCATAGCAGTCTTCATAATGAGTTAACCTCAACGTGTCATTGGAATATCATCTTTGAGAAACTTCTTAGTTGTATCGATGCGCAGACCAATCTGACAGCAACACACTAGATGTTGGGGCCTTACGGTACTATGATACCTATACTAGGTATACTACGCTGGATAAGGCATCAACAACCTTCTCAATACCTCCACAACTCGAGAGTGTTGTGCATAGAGATCAGGTCCGCTATAAGGCCGATACCGTCATCCGCATAACCCGATCCAAGCCGCATCATCAAGCAACCCCGCATTAACCAACTTTCAGAAGGATTTCCCATTCGCTCACTATTACCATTGGTCTTATTATGCTTATCACTTCGTCTCTTGCATTCTGCTAGTAGTAGTGCCAACCGTGTCCGGGTTTCCCACGCGATTCGGCTGCATGTCCGAGTGACGGTCCATGGACGCGATAGTCACGAGTATAGCGATGCCCCACGTTCGAGGCGTCGAGCGGGGTTGTGCACTAGATGTTACATGGATAGATTGAGATAAGGGAATGTAGTGAAGAGGCAAGATTGAAGAGGTGCTCTACACTTATCTTCAGATGAGAACATTGTAGCAGCCTTCTGTCTTTGCTCAGCCTTCTCTTCTCGCCATCTCACATTAAAGTCATGATGCTCCAGCAGCGGCTCACTGGATCAACGCTGCGTTGCGTAGCCGGGAGACAAGGCTTCATCGATGGCTTCAACACATTCAAAATCCGGCACAGCTCTACAACCGTACTTTCCCGGAACAAAACACCAACTACACAGATGCCAAACCAATCACTTGCGCAACATCCGCTATCAGCGATGCCAACGCATATGCTGCTGCGCTCACTCTTCATCGCCACAGTATCATCTCACAAGGTCCTCCTAATACCATCACTCAACCTCCTATCGTTCTTCGCTACACCAAACCGAAGCTTCCTCTTCAATGTGGACCGGAACCCCGTATTGAAAGCTATCTTGAAGAGAACGCTATACAATCAATTTTGCGCAGGAGAAACGGAACAAGAAACGCGAGCCTGCGTGGCGCAGCTGAAAGATCTGGGGTTCAAAGGAGTGATATTGACATACGCAAAGGAAATGGTGTTCGACCATAAGAATAATCATGCAAACCATCATACCTCTGACAAATTTTTTGATGAGAAGGCTGTCGTTGTATATGATACTGATATCGAGGCGTGGAGGGCGGGCACGCTAAGGACTCTTGATCTCATCTCAGAGGGGGACATCCTGGCCTTGAAGTAGGTGTGGCGGCAAGAAAGAATTTGCGGAATAAGAGATTGTGTTGCTAATACTATCGTAGAACAACGGGAGGTGGTCCGGCAGTCTCAGCAGCATTCAGCAAAGGCGACCTACCACCCCAGCAAATGCTCGATGCCCTAGACGAGATAGCAACAAAATGCAAAGAGCGCAATGTTCAAATCATTGTCGACGCCGAGTCTCAGCATTGGCAAAAAGGTATCGCTCGTACAACCCTCGAGCTGATGCGCAAGTTCAACCGCAACGGCAAAGCCATCATCTACAACACCTACCAAGCCTACCTCAAGGACACAGCTGAAGTACTCGCATACCACATGACTGAAGCGGAAAGGGATGGATTCACGCTTGGTCTCAAGCTCGTGCGAGGCGCATACATACTTTCCGATAACCGTTCCCTGATCCACGACACGAAAGAAGACACAGACCACGCCTACAATACCATAGCACAAGGTACTCTTCGCCAGCAGATCGGTATGTTCGGTGCCTCCGGACCCTCCGCACGTCCATTTCCTTCTGTAAATCTCTTCCTCGCATCTCATAACCGCGAAAGCGTACTGTCAGCCCATAGGCTTCACCGTCAGCGTCTGGAAGCTGGTCTACCCACTGTGCCTGTCGCGTATGGACAACTACACGGCATGTCAGATGAAGTCAGCTTCTCTTTGTTGGCGGAGAAGGGCGAGGGTAGCAAGGCGCCTGAGGTGTTGAAGTGCACGACCTGGGGTAGTATGGGCGAATGTATGGGGTATCTGCTTCGGAGAGCAGTGGAGAATCGCGATGCTGTGTTGAGGACTAAGGATGAGTTTGCAGCGTTAAGAAGGGAGGTTAGGAGGAGATTCTTCTGGGCGTGACCAGAACTGCACGGTGAGGTTGCAGTTTATGGTAATGGAGTCCGGTGAAGTAGACTGGGTTAATGAATACATTGTCGTAAGATGTGCCTTATTCATCGGTCGTGCTTCAGGTGTCATTCCAACACACAACACAACGATTTCCTAACTTGAGAAGTAGCGGCTACTATCGGTACCTGGAAGTTGTCTTCGTCATGATGCATTTGGATGCAGAAGAGATGTAGACGCACAAGTGGGTCTCCGTAGTCGCTTTCCCCGCTGATAGTCGCAAGAAGAAAAGTGGAGACCGGTTTCCTTCCCGAGAACTACTATACAAGTCGAAACACTGAGCTTTACACGATTGTTGAGTAAGACCCAAGAACCACTTAATCCTCTCGCATAAGATCTCTGATCACTAGAGAAATTTTTTCGCATCAAGTCATCACAAGTTCTCTCTTGCCGAGCTTTGGCAGGAAACACCCAACATATTAGCACATTCAAAACGACCATGCCAGACCTAACTCTCTGTATGCTGGGATGCGGTACGTTGTTTCAGAAGCGATTAGAAATGGAACTGAGTATACTAAACATCCTTTATGATAGGTAATCTCGGTACACCCATCCTACAAAGTCTCATTAACGCCCCTCCCAACTCTCTCCATGGCATCACCCAATTCATCGCCTGCGTCCAAAGCGAAAGTTCCGAAGCGCGGCTCAAAACACTATTCACCCAAAACGGAAACATGCGCATCTCGAGAAACGACAATGTAACCGCCATCAAAGACTCAGACGTCATAATCCTTGGCGTTGACCCTTCGCAAGTCGAAGCGATGTTAAAGAATGACGGCATCAAAGAAGCGTTACGAGGAAGGCTCCTCATAAGTATTGTTGCAGGGTGGTCGCGCCCCGCCCTAGAATCGCTCATCGACGCCAAAGCGGACGCCTACGAAGGCGTTGAAACCCCCGTTGAAAAAAGAACATGGGTTCTACGTACCCTCCCCAATGTAGCAGCACTCGTCTCCCAATCTTTAACCGCCATTGAACACCACCCCTCGCCCTCGTTCCCGCCTCACTACTCGGACCTAGCAACTGCCATATTCTCTCGAATCGGTAAATCCCTCCCCATCCCACCTAGCCTCATGCCCGCAACCACAGCCGTCAGTGGTTCGACACCCGCGTTCTGGGCCATCATAGTCGATAGCCTCATCGACGCTGCTGTTGCTGTGGGGGTTCCTCGTAAACTAGCTCAAGAGCAGATATATCAGAGTATGAGGGGCAGTGCGGAGATGCTTCAGAGTGGGATACAGCCGGGAGAACTGAGGGATATGGGGACGAGTCCTGAGGGGTGTACGATTGCAGGAGTGATGGTGTTGGAGGAAGGTGGGGTTAGAGGGGTCTTGGGGAGGGCGTTGAGGGAGAGTGTTACGGTTGCTAGGGCGATGGGTAAGGTTGGTGAGGGGGAAGAGGTGCACGTCAATGATACTAGGAAGATCTAGATTAGGCCCTGCGATCATGGATGTAGGTAGATGACGCGAATGTGATTATTAAACACCCCAATACCTACATACAGTCGGCATAACCACCCAGAGCAAGAGAAGTTACGTCGTAGGAAGCAAAAACCACCGTCACATCACCATCACGTATACATGAAACAACAAGTGCAGTATTGGAATCATCAACATCTGCTTACTACTCACTACCTACTCACTGGATATAAACCTTACCACATCTTGCGTAAACATACATCCAACCCAACCAAAGGGGTGCATGTGCGTGCGAACACAAACTACGCCTTATCCTGTTGAACCCATGCTAATGCATCCGACTGCAATCAAAGGTATTTCCGCACCTTTCGCTCAAAAACCGAGCTTTCCGTGAATAGATATAACGCCAAGTTGGTAGTGAAGTTGAAACGCCAAAAGTAACCCAAATAGGTATACCGGAGCTGAAGTAGCAAATGAGATTTGTTGAGACGGTCAAAAAGAGAATACACACATAGCTGGTTCGGAGGTTGAGAAGGAAAATATACACGGGTGTGTAGAGTGTGTGAGTGTGTATGTGAAATACGAACAGTGAATAGACGCGTTGATACTTCCTCCTCTTTCTTTGTTCTTTAGCCTTCTTTGGGCTTTGGGTATTGTGTAGACGATGTTGTCATGTTCAGAGGATGCCAGCCCACATGCCTGGGCCTTGTGGGCGGAAGGCTTGTGCGACCTCGGTACTGCAACACGACCTCTTCTTGCCAAAGTCTTTCTGGATAGGAAGACGCGAGCAGTATGGAACAGTGCTCTTAGGGGACTGCAGCCCTTTAGGTTCACTGCGAGATGGGAGGGCAAATGAGTGTGACACTGATCTATCAGGAAGCACAGGCTTCTGACCACGAAGGTCAAATGCGGAGCGAGTGCTGTGAAGCAAGTGACGCACGTTCTGCTGGAGGTCGACTGAAGACCTTCCACGTTTGCGGCTCGCAGGAGCGACGAACGCAGGGCTCTCGACCTTGCCTGGTGAAGAATCCGAATCATCGATATGGAAGCTGTCCAGATCGGGTGAGGACATAGCCTCACTTGAAGCATACTCATATTGCTCCTTGCACTTCGACAACACTGGGTACGGAAGTCTCGCGCTGCGGCAGGTCGCCAATCGAGCCAAGTTGGCCTGATTCTGAGTTGGCGCCCAGCCGGCAGATGAGACCGACGAGATTGAGGAAGCACGAGAAGTACGTGAGTTGTCCGAGATCATTGACTCTGGAGAGGATGAGAGGGATGAGTTGGATGGTGCCAGGGAAGGTCGTCGGCTTGGAAAGTGGTAGGCTTCTAGTCCGTTCCTGATGCTTGGGTTGAATTGGTCAACACAGGTACGCGCCAATGACGAGCACTGTGCCTGTTGCATTGCCGAGCACATCGATGTACGTCGCGATGATCCAAAGGCCATAGCACTCGCTGCAGGAGTGTTGCTGGTAATGGATTGTGGCGTCAAAGACGGTGTCGGTAGAGGACCCAGGCGAGCCAGAGACGGCAGCGATGGAGTGTGAGGAAGATCAGGCTTTGGCTCCAAGAAGCGAGGCACTTGATACCGAGATGGAGTTGGTGTGCTCTCCTGAGATCCGTAGCCATCAAGCGACGGGGTGCGGTAGGACGATGCGTTCAGCTGTGGCCTCAGAGGAGGACGCACGGGAGTGTTGGGTGCCTTGCAAGTCACCTGGACGATATCCAACTCAGGCGTCAAGATAGGGATGACGTCTTTCCAAGTGTTGGGGATGGGGGCGCCAGGTGATGGCGGTGGAAGAGTAGGAGTATGCTTTAAAACGACCTCTTGCCACTTCTCCCACACCGAGTCAACAATATGGAGTTTCCAGTTGACAGCTTCGAGGAAAGCCATCTCGTTGGTGTTGATCTCACAGACCTTGAGGCCAGAGATCTTACTCCATGCGCGAGCTGAGTAGTTGCGGTCCTGCAGGTACTTTGACGCGAGGATGAGCGCAGCAAGGAACATGCGACGACCACACTGCAGCGCACGAAGAGATGCATCTTCAGGCTGAGACATGGTGAAGTCATGCTTGGGCAGATGAGGCTTGATCAGGATCAAGTAGTACAAGGCAACTTGCAGCGTAGAGTAGCTTGTGCGAGAGCGACGGAGCGTCTCCTGGATAAACATGCGGAGAGGAAGTACTCCGCGTCCAGAAGCATTCTCACAGCGGCTCTTGGGCTCAGAAAGTTGCCAGATAACTTCAACCATCTGGGTAGCAGAATCTTGAAAAAGGACGAATCAGCGGAGGAACCATGGTCCAGGGATAAAGCGTGTACTAACCGACGAGGCAATCGACGAAGTTGACCTTTCGGTCGGACTGTCGTACCAATTGAGGCGGGGCCTTTTGGTTGACAGTTGCCGACGACCGACGAGGATTCTGTCGCTGCTCCAGTGGCGCGAGAAGCTCGGTGCGCAGAGAAGGTAATCTCTCCTGTGCAGGCTCCCGGCATGCCGCAGACTGATACTGAGGATATGTGCTAACTCGGCTGATGGGCTGGAAAGCTGACAAGCTTGCAGCGTCGACAGCAGTCGCCGGTGCAACTTGGTTGCGACTCCATTCTTCTGAGTCCCAGTTTGAGTGAGACGATGTGGAGCTTGCGCTGGACGCTTGTGACGCAGCGTCTGAGAATACTGATGAGGTGGAAGAGGAAGCGGAAGAAGAAAGTGGAGCAGCATAGGGGTGGGTCTCGGCCATGTAGCCGTGGCTAGGGAGAGGAATAGCGAGACTCATGTTCAAGGAGGGGTAAACAGGACGGGGCCTGGTAAGGAAATGTAGACAATAAGGAGTGAGCGGAGATGGGGTGACTAGGCTTTGTCGTTACGTCTCGAAGTGCTGACCGTTAGGTAGACCTGGAGATGTGGTGCAGAGCGTGATCGGGTGGTCGTGGGGTGACCGAGAACTTAACCGATGGGACAAACCGTAGAGGGCAACCCTGTGACTTCTGACGTATAGTTCAAGACGCTGTTCTCTTTGCAGTGTTCTGGAAGAGGGTAGGTTTCGAAGACGGAACGTATACGTAGGAGGTGGAGGGGTTTGACGAGTCGCAGGTGGGAGTAGGATTCGAACAGTGTCAAGTGGTCGAAAAGCAGCCAGGTGCGGACTAGAGCGGGCTCCAGTCACTGTCAACTGCAGAATCACCGAAACAAGACCGTTGTAAGAGACGGTCCGCGAAGCACTCTGATATTACAGCTATTGAACAGCGGGCGCTGTCGCAAGAACTGGATGTCTGAGGGGATGCGGGAGGGTCTAGCAAGCGAAGCCTTGGATGAAGGCCTTGTTTCCGGAAATAGTGGTGATTTCTGAGCGACGAGTGACTGGAGTAGTGTTGGCCGAATGGCACATTGTGTTGATGGATCGCGATGTGGGAAGTGTTCGAGGGTGGTGACGGCCTTGTTGAAGGATCACCAAGCTGAGCGACTTCGTGTATTCGCGGAGGGAGGGCGGTTGGGTGTTTGGGTGTTTGTTTGTAGTGTTTGTTGGGTTATTATTATTGGGTGTTGGTGTACATAAGAGCTGTTTGTAGTTGGGAGGTGTGGGTCTGACGTGTGAGGAAGTGGCGGTCGGAGAGTCGGTAAAGGTACGAAGGCGCGAACAGAGGGGATCTGGTCGCAACGCAGGTACGGGAGAAGGTGTTATAACAGGACAGGCTCTCTCGTCTCGTGTATGACTGGAGGCGCGAGATGAGTCTATGCGGAAGGCGGCAGCGTGGCGGCGACCAAGGTCGTGCGTCGAGACTGCTACCTGGACAAAGGTGGGACGGTTTGCGGTTTAGGTAGGTAGTTGGGTAGGCGACAGAGAACAGAACAACACGTTAAGCGGTTGGCGTCCTAGATTAGGCCGCAGGGGGCGCTGTAGATGTTCGTGAAGTCCATTGCTGCTGTCTTGATGAGGGTGACGGGCTGGGCGGCGCTGGCGATACTAATAGGAACCCCGTAACCTACAGCGCCCCCAGTCCAGTCATCGCATCCGGGCGCTATGGCCAGCTTGCCTCTTTGCCACACAACCCAACCTTGGAAGACTCATCGCACGCGCTTTTTTTTTATTTGCCATCGCAGGTGCAATGGCAGTGCATGATTTGCAGTTTGCAGTTGCTTGGGCAGCGATATTGCCATCTGCCCCCACCATACTGCAGTATTGCTCATACTCTGTGCTTGTTGTCAACCATCTGAACAGGCGTGAGACGAGACGCTCCATCATCACGCATGGCTCCTAGGCTACAGGCATGCCAACACGGCCTGCCGCCATGCCTGGCGCAGCGGTAAATGGCCCTCTGTAACCCGCCTGTTCCCTGCGCATGCAAAGAGGCTGTTCACGCTGATTGCGACGCGACCGGCTGCTGCGACACACGGCGTCTCCTTTTCATTCACACTAGGCGCGTCTGCTATCGAACGCTCCGTGCCATGGTAGCGCCAGAGTCTCCCAGACTGTGTCTCCTACACCCCCTCAGCTATGTTGAGATGAAGGGACCGCCCGTCTGGGAGCCAAGGACGCGTCTTCACATTGCCTCATGCGTCATTGGGTGAGCCAAACGACGCCATCCCGACAAAGGTCATTTTGTGCCTTCACCGTGCTTTTCCAGGCTATATTTGCGGCCGACCCCCTCGACGGCTGCTGCGACGCTCGTAATCTCAGCTGCTCAGCATGCGACGCCTTCATTTGCACCTCATCCGATCGTGCATGTCGTGATGCAAACATGGCTGTAAATCCCTCATGGCAATCGCCAATGGCACACAAACCCATCGTGATGACGCAAACGGCGCAAGCAGCAATGAACTGCTGCCAACACATCGCCGCCTTGCCCTGCCATGGACTGCTCCACTATCGCACACCGCAGTGGCTGATGACGCCGGACCTCTTCCCCAAAGCGATTCCAAATGCGTGCACCTGTCTCTGGCCCTCGGCTCTCTTCATCCGACCACTCCTCGAATCTCTCCCCAGCAAGCGATGACCATGGTTCACGCCTCACAC